AGCAGGCAGATTGGGCGATAATTGCCAATATCGTCTGGATCTCCCTTCTTGTACAGCAACACAGTCTTGCTAGTTTTCCACGACGTGGGCACTTTGCATTCCGACAGGTACCGTGTGAAGAGCCTAGCCAGAGTTTTGATGATGACTGGTGGTATACTCTTCAGATGTTCTGGTTTGATCCTATCGGGGCCGGGCGCTGTACAGTTCTTCATCGACGTGATGGCATGTCGTATTTCGGAAGGGAGAACCGAAGGAGCGATATATTCGTCTTGCCTAAGATGGTGAGTAGGCAGGTAGACGTGGCTGTCGAAGAGATCCGAGTAGAAGTCGTAGATGACCTTCTCCATTCCCCTCCGGGAAGCAGTAATGTTTCCGTCAGGACGACGAAGGGAGGTCATCTTGGTCTTGTAATTGGCGAAGCTCCGTCGGGCTTTGCGAATGCTCTTTCCGGCCTCGGCGGCTTCGTCCATGACTGCTGCTCTTCTCTCTTGAATCTGATAAAATCGAAAAAATTATGCAACTTGGATTAATTGAAGGACCAGTCAAACTATCGAGTTGATGCCCTTTTAGATTTGAAAATTGGCGGCAAATTGATATAATATGATATGATAATCGATAATATCGCTTTTCTTAAGAGTATGCTAGATTATACTACGGTAGTGCAAACGATGTACTCTAAAGCTCAACCATTTGGGTAGTGAGCATTGATAGCAAACCAAAAAGTCCAGTAACTAACCAGGTAGGTGGAAATGCTGGAAAAGTCAGTAATTTTTTGGACCCTTGCCCGCGCCCTCTCAATGAGGAAGTATCCACTGGTCAATTCCTCTTCTCCAACTTATCGCATCGAGTCAGGATTTCTCGTAACCTCATAAACTTCCCTCTTCAGGCTTACGTTAAAAACCCCATCCCTTTGTCTCAGATTCGTCTCTAAGCACCATCGTAGGCTCTTGCATTTAATGCCTTATCCTTCTCTGGCTCTGGCAATTAGCGTTCGAGACAGAGACCACTGGGCATTGATCCACCGGACTAATAAACACCGCTTCAGGTATAACTCATCATAATGACACGACAGCACATTCAGAGCAAAGCGGTAAGATCACTCGAAAAGTCCTTCCTTAGAAATCGTAAAACCCGGAGACAGTGAGTCTTTCAACCCGAGAAGAGTTTTGATGACCTATGGATTTGCCATCTTCTTACCGCTTATTACTGGATAAGAGGTCATGTATATATTTATGTATATGTATCAAAAATATAATATACAAAACACTAGCAAGACGACCTAATGACTACCGGTAATGCAGTCAATAACAAGAAATTCGAAAACATTCAGTATCTCAAAAACAACGGAAGTCAAGGAATGTCATGAATTACTTAAAGGAACGCTGTACAGACTTTTTTTTCTAACAAAAGGTACATTAATTGCACAATATCAACTAGTGTTATCACCCTACGTAAATGAGCTTAGAAATGTATAACGCTTATTAATCAATAATATATCTACATCTCTACGAATAGACTATCTCTAGTGGGAAAAAGTTTGATCCTAACACAACAAAGAAAAAACAGGGAATGACGACAGCTATCGGAACTACCAGAATGGACACCATCCTATGTAGCATTGGCAAAGATTTTCATGAAGTGTCGCCTGTTCAACAAGGCGATCAATTTGCTCTTGCACATCCACTTCTCCTGTACCAAATTCGCTACCTAAACCAGAAACTATAGAATTCGAGGAAATTCCATAGAACAGACAATACTCTCAAACCATGCACTGTTTCGCCTTTAGTTCGACGTGGAAATATGCCCATCTCATAATTAGTCCTACGAATTCTCCTTAGCTAGTCCTATCTTGGGATAGATCCCAAAAAAAAATGTAAGCAACCATGTTTATTGAAAACGAGTAGAGTGCCTAGCTTTTCCGAGTGCTTTCGTGAATGTCCAAGCCCATCTTTTATTCACATGCTTTACTTGACATATCCCCATCCACATTGGATTCACTATTGCACGAATTGGCCCCCATCAGTTCAGTCACTAAAGCAAGAACTGAGAACCTACCAGCCAGCTTGTGCTTTATTCTATCGATGACACGTTCTCGAACGAGTCGAGGCGCCTCTTGAAGTGTCTTCCTTCTAGTGACATCATGCTTCTCACCAGGCACACGTTTTGTTCCTAAAATCATCGCATCAGATATTAAAACCGTTCTTGGATATGGTAAAAGTTGAGGTCAATGACTCATCAAAAATAAATAAAGCCGAATGAAAACACAGAAGCAATGAATTTAATGCGAAGTTTTATTGAAAAATGACTGAAGGAACAAAGAGAAACCAGTGGTTAAGTGAAAAAGGTAAACGTTGAGGAAGGATTGTCAGTTGAAAAAGAACCTTATGAAAAACAACTCAAAATAAAAGAGATCTGTAAGAGATCCTGGAACACCTACAAACTGGATAAAAAGCTTTTATGATGAGATCAGATTTCACCCGACAAATAAAGCTATGCACAAGGAAATGAACAAGAACGAGTAATGTATACTCCAATAAACACCAACCTTCTAATAATCGCCAGCTGATAACTGGATCATATACAAACGCTTCCAGAACAGCTAACAAACTCTCACGATTTGCTCTCAGCAACCGTAACACACGTTCGCAAGTGAATCGATAGTTTCCTTCAATTCCTGTTACCTCCATTGCCTTAAACAATCACAGTTGAACAGATCCGTATAAATATGATTTTTGAGTTGTTCAACTGTAAGTGCTACGCCAACTACACTAATGTCGTTAAATGAGATGCATAGAGAAACGATCGCGGTTGACCAACCCGTCTGTCACCTAAATCTCAATCCAGCAAATTTCATGTGCCGCTTGAGAACTATCAGCAACTTTCAAGAGTTATTCACAGCATAATTATTTGGCGTGTACCTGTCAGGGAACGAGAGATTGTCCTTTTATTATACTTGTTTGGAAACTCTTCCTGACCTATTAAATGGAACGCAATACTATCGACACCTACTTACCTTCACTAGCATGCGAGTAAGCCTAAATGGTATCTTCTCTGGGAACTTCTCCCTAGTCATTGCAACATCAAAACAGTCGCCAAAATCAATGTGTACAATTTTTCCAGTGAGTCGGTCCAACATAAGATTTGAAGGATGCCTTAAGAACAGTTATATGAACTAATTAGACACGAAACTGAGTGACGGTAAAGTCGTGAATAGGCTACTTCAAGCTACATCAGGGCTTACCTGTCGCCTAAACCCAAAATATATCCAACCATAGACATGCACGCCATGGATCTTGTATAGTTCGTTCGACGATCAAACCACACTTCAGAGCTGAAAACGAATATTTCAGCATGAGGAAGGTTATCCTGAGTATGAAGTCGTCTAAACAACAGTTGAAAAGCAATCACACGGGTGATAACTCACCTGGGACTTTTCAACCACAGAATCTGCTGTAAATCATCCCCCGTGGTTGATGCAAGAGCTCTTTCAAAAAGTTGCACCTGAAGAAAACCCAGGTAGGAGTATACGTACATGTGTCATATCTCACACTTAAGGTAATCTCAAGGACATTGATAAAGTTTTGCAAACAATCTGGGAGGCAACCCAAGTACTACTCTCACGGAATGTAATAAAAAATTGTCCTCTTCTACAAAGTGATTTTTATAGTTGTGGTATGATCGACAAATGTGAGAGAATGGGAATAAACAAACGGCACCCTGACAAACTCACTTTCTGCATCAGGGTTACCTGCTCCGTATCTTGTGCGAGCGATTGCATTATCTTATGCTCAAGCGATAGAGAGATCTGGAAAATCAGTGATGATCCCACACTCCCAACCCGAAACATGAACCTAACCTAATGTCCTCACGAATTCATTACATTGCAGCCCAAAGATGTTTAAAATATACAAGTTCAACTTTATATACCTTCTTCTTATCCCTGTAATCGCGAACAAGGGAATGCAAAGTGTCGCAATCAGGTACCCATCCAATCAGACCCGAATTATGACTCAGAGCAACAATCGAGTACCGCTGAAAGTCATGTTGTTTGTTCCAAAGATACGAAAAGACAGGCAAATGACGGTTATTGCGGGGTATCAAAAACAAGAGTTCCTGATCGACTTCCATCAAATGTTCCCTTCAATGCATGGTACAAGATGAATATAAAACCACGAGTCTTACCTGTATTGTTAGGTTTCTTCTACAAGTTTCAGCGTTATTCACTAGAAGCGTATTTATGAGCCCAAACAGCTGCATCACCCTTTCGTCTTGGCGCGGATCTTCATGCCCTTTCAGCAAGAACGCATATTCTCGACCATTACTGCCTAACGATGACAATAGTGCTTCTTAGCGTTTCATGGATGTTTTATTTATATTTTACCTCGAATGGTCATCTTTCTTGGTCGTTGCTTGCTACTAATGACCTGAAGATGGGTGCCAATAGAAGCAATACCAACCACTGGCTGAGAAGGATCATATGTTCCTGGTACAGCAAGCTCGAGGTCCTGAAATGAATTTTAGTTTAGCTGGACGTCCAAAGGCTTGAGAAGTTATAACTCCTCCTCAGTATCATACAATGGTTGCTCAAAAATTTGTGTCCTTTCGATAAGTCAACTAAAGCATGGATACGGTAACATGGGTAGGTAAGTAGGAATGGGATGAATACCAAACATAAATAACAACTGAAACTATTCGAAAAAAGATTAAGCTTTAGTAACTCAAAGAATTGAGGTGGCATCACAACGGGCCTGATCACTTCAAATGATGTTCAACGACTTCACTGTGATACCATTCCAAGGTGTCTTTACAGGTACGTCTATTTTACAGTCGTTGCTCACTCAAAATCAAAAACGTATTATGGTGATAGTCCCCCCTTCTGAAAGCGTGCTCAAAAAATGTCGCAAACCTTTGCTCTCATCAACATTGGGCTGATATAGTTCAAATCCAGGGACGTGAGTTGGCGCAGTTGAGCCGTTATTTTCTTAAAGACCTGAAATAGAGAAGATGGACTCAATGAGACTCCTCAAACCAAAATATTTCATAGCCGACCTGACAGTAAATTTCCCACGCCTGGGTGAGTTCTTTCACATTTTCGGTTCGTTTAAAAGCCTGGCAGAACTTGTACGCATCCGAAAGCTCACAATAGTACGTCTAGAATCCAGAAAGTATATAATTTGTTTGAGAATTTCAATATGATTGCGGATTATAAACTACACTGCAAGTGGTCCAGATGAGGAATACTTGATCAATAACGAGTTTCAAAAAACAGTAATTACTGTCTGAAGTAAAGAATCGATTACCTGGAAAGGGTTCAGAGAATCCAGATAAATTCATTATCACCAAATATAAAGAAAATCTAAATTAATTGAATAATATTCCTTTGTTCACCTGATTGAATGACTGCTCCTTCAACGTGGTGGGTCCCTTTTCTATCATCTTGTGAACCGGCTCCAGAGTTTCCATCATCGCAGCCGTATTCTTCTCCTGTCAACAACAATAATACCAGCCTCTAGGAAGAAATCTCTTACCAGTAAATATTATGAGCAACCCCACCTGGAAATATTGACGACTAGCCTCGTCGAGAGCATCATGCCATTGTTCATGCCATAATATGGCGCATCTTACCAACTCCTCAGAAACCATGCTCGCCTAATATTGTTGATTAATGCCCACCCAAACAGTAATTAAACATTTCCAAATAAAGCATTCAGTAGAATAGCGACAAAGAACAAAGCCAATGCATTCTAGAAGTTGAAGAAAAAAAAAANAAAAAAACAAAATTCAATACAAAAGAGTACCAAAATACCTCCTCAACAAGTTTGGGATGCATTTCTGCCATATGTGCCAACATTTCTTGAGCGTTCTTCTGACGGTCGATGTTCGAAGATTTCGCGGCTACAGTCAACGCATACACAAGTGCCTGAATTTGAACTAAAAACATTTTGGAAAATTGTAATACTTATTTCTAGGAACGTCTTCCAAACGTATTCACAGAAGTCAGCAGAGCTAGCCCCTTGGGAGGAGATCCTGCCTCAGTCCACAGGCTTGTCTACAAAGCAACACTCAACTCTGAGCTATCACGGCAATACACATTGTCTAATAATAAGACAGCATTTGAGAAGCTGGCTGTCACCTATCCATTATTGTAAAGACCAAATTATTCAAAAAGGAAGACAACTCCGTGAGCGCACGGGCGATGGATCTTCTCGAATCCCTAAAAATCAGCAGAAGGTTCCATAGTAAGAATACCACCAGTCTAATCCCTCACCCTGCCGTTATTTTGTAGGCAGGCTTAAAGCACACTACAGCATTTTATATACCAAAAGTTATGCCGCGCCCTTGGCAGTCAACCTTTTCTGAAATAAAATACCTGCGGTTTCATCTTGGAAATCTCGAGAATCACTTGTTTTATGAGCAGTGCCATTTTGTCGCGTGAGTCTAACCGAGCCATTAGTTGAGGAACAGCCTTGAAGAGAACATTTCCAGTAACCATGGACAGCCTTACAGAAAAGTTACCTCAAGCCATGTCTCAATGGGCAGCCCTTTGATGTTCTCACTCAGCTGTTTGTACACCTCATTATACTCGCCGTAATCAAACCAAAGCTGCAGTAATCTCAAAGTATCTTCCAGTCGAGAACCTATAATGAACGGACGCGAGTCAGTTGCCTCGAGTGGTACGTAGAAGAGATGTAGCCAATCATTGATGTTTTCTGCTACTTATTACAAATGTTTGACCAAGAGTGAGTACCCACATTTACAATTGCCCTTCTACGAGTGCAGATTATCAAGAATGAATCCCTTTGAACGGTTACTGCTTGTGTCAAGCTTAAGATAAATCTTACCTGGAGCTAGCTGTAGAGCCCTTGTGAAGCATTTTACTGCTGAAACTGCATAGGCAATGTTAACTGGCACAGTAGACGGTGGTGGTGTAGTCAGCGGAGGATTATGAATTGGCATCGGGCTCAGCTGAGGAGGTATCAGCTGCATTATTGACCCTGGTGGAGCGCCAGGAGGTGGCGGTGGACCAACAGGCAGTAGCGGTACACCTGCTAAGGCTGCCATTATTTAGTAAGAAAGACCTGAAAAAGATGATCTCATAGAGCTCACCATTTGTATTCACCGTCACCGGCATTATGGGCTGTGTTAACGGTGCAGCTTGAAGTGGTGGTGGCGGTAGTGGGGCACCAACTGGTGGCATCAGACCCATTGCAGGTTGTGGTATAAGTGGCGGTGGCGGTGTCGCATGAATCAGACGAGTGTGTGGTGATCGAACAGCCGCTGCCGCTACCGCTTGAGACTTTTCCTTGTCGCGCGACAAAGCGGTAAAGTATGCAGATGCAAGTTTGTGCCATGCCTATAAAAGGCCTTATTATATTATCAAATAAAATATAATAAGCAACCTTTAATCGAAAATAGACTAAAAACAGAATACAATAGCATATCCAAAAGAGCACACCTTATGCCAATCCTTGTCATATTCAGTAGATCTCGCGTAATGGCGAATGACCTGCTCGGTCGCAGTCTGCTCGTCACTGATGGGCGAACCGCCAAACAGCGAACGATGTGGACTTGGAAGTCCAACGCTGCCATTACTATTCGGAGCGCTCTCAGCCAAGATCTCCGTCCACTCTCCAAGTTTCAGGCAGGCCTGTAATAGAAAATAAAGGAGAGAGCTGTTTGATGAGACCTTCCACAGTTTCCTGCCCTTCAAACAAATGTAGATGTAGATATGACTTGAACTACTCCCACTCTGAAACAAACCTTTGCACACAACCGGGCAGCTTCTGGTGTGTGGTTTGGAGGAAGACGATCAAGGTGGTTAACTAGGGCTTCCAACGTCCTGACTGCTTCGTTACGATAATCATCCATCCATAATTGTTTGCACAATGCCAATACCTGATATGATCCTTTTGAAGATCATAAATATACGGTCGATAACATTTCAACACCCTTCTTCGTTATGGCTGAATGCCAACAACTGAACGATTCGGGCTTACCAATTGTGGCTTATCACTGGGCGCAACGGCTTTATGGAGTGGAGCACCTGGCTCGAGTCCAAGCAGATCACGAAGCACATCGCGACACATCACGTGTTTCCCTTGCTTTCGACATAATGACGAGAATTTAACACGCAACGGATGCATTTCCTGCGGTGTTAGCACTAACGATCTGCAATCAAGGATGATTGGGCACAAATCAATATCAGGAAATTCGATTACCTGAGCATAAGCAACCGCTGCCACTGTTCGATATGCTGGCGACATCCCTGAAGACGACGACTCCACAAAAGAGCAATTCTCGTTTGGCGTTCTGGTCGAATCTTAACAACCGATTTTCGCAGCTTCAAGACTGCCACCCGTCGGTCAGCGGGGGATATTGCTCAACCAACCTTGAACTCAATAGCCTCTTCCAGTTCAGCAAGTTGTTGGATGCAAACCATTGCACCATACGCACGTTCGTAGCTCTCGCTTGCCATCGCAGTCAATTCACTGTCGTACATGTCACGAACCTAAAATCAATCTGAATTCAGGTGAGCATCAATGTAGAAATGGGATTCTATAAACCTGAATAGTTGCTCCCAAAGTTCAAAGAAATTTATTGATTTGAAAAACCACAAGAGCATAGCTCTGGAGATTTCAACGAAACCTCAGTTATACTCAGCGTCCCTACCCTCCCCACTTCGGTATAGACAATGTGAAGTGAAGCCATGTAGAACTATACCATCAGAAAGACGTTACGTCTTCAAAGGGCGGGCGGAAGTTGAGCCCTGTCCCAGAAGAAATTGTTTTCGCCCGTAGGACCTTGATCCTGCCGGCGGATACAATTCTACAATTTAGAAGAAACTGACCAAAATGGAAGTAACTGTCAGATTTACCAGGTACAATTTGTAAGCAGCACAACACCCACCATCACGCCACAGATGCATGTTGTTTCAAGAACGTACCTTGTCGATGTAGTTGGTCGCCACTTCGTAGTTCTCTTGTTTTACAGCCAGAACAGCTCTCAGCATTGCACCATCCTGTGTATTCTCATTCACTTGTGAAACATAGTCCTCCATTGCCTGCCATTCGCCTGGAATCACTTTTTAACGGCGGGAACTTGATATGAAATAATACTGTCTGGACCATAAACTTTTTGAATGGATTTACAAGAACAAATCTAGAATAAGTGATGACTGATTTGATCTTGACCCTGCTGAGATTAGGTTCACTAGTGGCGCATGATATGCTTATGCGGACCTTCAGAGCCCGTTGACCTTTTGGGAAATAAAACTGAAGAGCATGTTGTGAGATAGAGAACCTAAAAATCTCACCGACTGCCCATGCTCCACGCGCGGCCATCACAGCAATCTTCTGATCCTTTCGCTGCACTGTTCGTGCGCGTTCGTTCAATTCACTCCAACGACCTAACGCCTCCAGACACCGCATCTGATGCCCGATCATCTCATCAGATAACGGTTCCGGATCAGACTTGAAATAACGATAATGATAGATGTATCTGTTGACCTACGCGTCGAAATTCCACAATAGCATCCAAAGGTCTTTCAAAACTGTGGGAAACATACCATGTATGCTTCAAGTGCCTTTTCCCATTCGTTCAACTTTTCGTACCATCGCCCTAGCATCTAAAAGCAAGTTTATGCGAACTTCTAAAGACAAAATAATTGAACGTCAAAGAGAAATATGAGAGAAGGCCAATTAATAATACTGTCACACCCACCGGAATAACCATTTCATGTTGCTCAGCATACCGCACAACACCAGCTGCTTCTTCTTGAACATTCAGCTTATTCGCGTACCTTCAAAAGGAAGACAACCAGTTTTATGGATTTCAACAGAACTTGTTTGAATGATATTCTGAACGGTTTCATGAAAAATTTGGTCGAGACTTACGTGATAAGCGCTTGACAGTCTTCCGTTGTTAGTCCACCTTCGCCTTTGTTCAAATGTTTATGGATTTGCAGTTCCTTGTAGCGTAGCGCTTTCGCAAAGGCTTTGGTTTCTTCAGCGCTTTTTCCTAGCCGATCGTATGCGATTGGCAGTGGACCCTTAATGTTACTATCAGAACTTTTCAAGAGACTCCCTTCCTCAAAAAACCTTCTTATGATCTAGTGTTCATTCACATGTTTTTCAAAAGTTCCTCACTATAAATAGTATCACAATTAATGATGGATCAACAAAAAGATGAACAGCCGTGTTATTTCCTTCATTCTCGCTGCTCCTAACTTTGCAACCATCAAACACTAGGGGCAGTACAGAACGAGCGATCTACTCAGAAAATTAAATATGGTTTTCTTTTCTAGTGCACTTTGTCTCTCACATTTTCTGCTAGACCACTAGTTGTAGAAAAAAGTTCTAAGTAGCCAATGCCATGAACACGAATGCACATGCTGTTCTTTCTATTACCTTACCCTTTCAGAATGATCCATGAATTCAGCTAGATTGAGGATCGTTTGGATGACATCCGGATGATTACTGGTCTCTAACGCCTGTAAGTCAAAATAGGACGTAAAAAATATTACAACCAGCACCTCAACTCGATATGATAACTATCTACTAAGCCGAAATAGGCAATGTAAAACAATTACTTACTGTCAGTAAGGATCCGGTGAGCTTATCCTGAAGGTCTTCGGTTAATTCGGTCCATACTGACATGAAGGCTGCGTTGAAAAGGTCCCTAAGTTCAGCTCAAAAATTCACAAAGCTAAGAAAAAAATTTTGTTAGAAACCAGAATGGCTGTTGATATTACGCTCGAAAAGTGAAACCTCTGAAGAACAAACAAAAACACACTTGGCTAAGTGTTGATGCTGATCACTCAGAGATGCAGCGGCTCGAATTGCTGCCGAACTTCCCGACTGAATGTGAAAGCTTCGAGTAAAATGAGTTCCGGGAAATGTGAGGTCAGAAACAAGTAAAATAAAACACATCAAAAAGGCAGGAATAGAAAATCTTTCTGCAAGATCAGTGGAAAACAACATCATCCACAAATTCAATTACCTTGATGAATGCCACACGCAGCTTGACCAGCCACTGCGCCCACTCTTCCTTTGAAACTAATGAATCGACCGCCCACGCTCGTACCACAGCCTATAGTTCTCAGACAAAAGTGAACTGGATTCAAAAAATTTATCAATTTAGAAATAAACATAACAGAAGCCAGTGAATTGTCTTCCTGACCAAATCTGCTGCCCCCGGATGTACCGCTGGTACTGAATTGGGCCTCCCTCATCACATCAGGAGGGGTTCTGCCTCAGATGGCAGTTTGATCGTGCAAATAATGCATCCTTAATCTCTACACAAGATCGACCCCAGTGTCTGTAACCATGGGAAAATTCACGAGTAACTTTCACTCGATGCCGTGGTAAAGACGCTGTACTAAAACAATTTCCCTCTATACCCAACACATTTATTTCTCCTTTACCTATTACCTATTTCTCCTTGATATTAACTTACGTCAGTATTCAGCCTCTGCTTATTAACCGTCCAGCTGAGAATCTGATCCATGTTCTTTGCTGCTGATGGTGTGATCGTGTGGGGGACGTTGATCTTCTCTGGTGGAACAGCGCCAGTGCCACGACGTTTACCTGGGCGTTCAGCCGGGTGTAACATGGCCTGTTGCGCTGTTTCTGAAAAAGGAGCTTGGAAGGGAACCTGAGAACTGTGATCAACACAAAACTTATAGGCAAGAAAAGCCTCAGGCATCATAGAAACTTCACTGGGTTGGGTAAGAAAAAGTCTATGAAAAATGTCAGCATGAGACTCGCGAAGCGTTCTCGAAATAATAAGTGAAATAATGTGAAGTACACATAAACGATTAGAAACAAGGAAAACTATACTTATGTATTTTTCGTATGCCTCCCCACTGGTTAGGTTGTACTTCCTCAGATTGGCATCGACACTTCGGCGGAACACTTCGAAATGTTTCCACATCTGGAAAAAGATTGTTCTCCAAATTAGGAACATATTGTGATTGCTTCACGCAATCAAGGAACAGTGGGATTTGAAAAGCACATTTACGAATTCAAAGAAGAGCTTAAAGGAAGTCCACAATAAGAAAGGGGCAAGACGAACCTGATTGACTATTTCCACTAACAGTTCAAGCAGCTGCGGCTGAAGCGCCACAACAGAAATACCTCGTTGCCAGGTTTGCATGAGTCGAGGTGCGTAGTCGGAAAGATCGTCACAACGAGTGAGGTGCAACACGGTATCTTCAAGAGAAGTTACCTATCCTTGATTGAACAGACTTATAGTTCACAAACTTGCTCAAGGTTTGGTTGCAACACCCCGATGAATGTTTTCCACTCAAAGGACTGTCAAATCATATACCGGAGCGCACGCCTACGTAGTTAATAACAACCAGTCATATTTCAGCTGTACGCAATCATACCTAAAGCCGACTGCCGCACAGTTGTCGGCACCGCTGAATCGTCCAATATCATGAGCACTGGTGGCAAGACCAAATGCAGATGTGGGGTTAGGCAGCCAGATAATGACCGAACACAAGAAAGCACCTATAAACAGCTCACATAAGATAACTAGCAATAAAAAACAAATCAAGTTTGTAATGGTCAGGTCAACAGTTGTCTTGAATGATAAGTTTGCGGACTAGCCTCGAACTAAACGGAATATATTCGACAGTGGCGCAAAGATGTACGAAATCTAACCTGTGATGTGAGTTTACGATCCTCACTCTTATCGGTTTGCACAACTCGTAGCAAATATGGTATGAGTTCAGCAATGTGCGGCGCAAACTCCTGACCCATTGCGGTCCCTATTTGCTCGAGTACACTTACCACTGTCACTTTAACGCTATGGTCTTCACTCCATGCGTCCTGAAAGCTCAATAAAGTTAACACTTTAACGCTATGGTCTTCACTCCATGCGTCCTGAAAGCTCAATAAAGTTAAGAGTAACGTGAAACTAATACGTCGATGAACTATAAAAGCCAAGTTTATAAAATGAAAAAACTCACAGCAACTAAGCTGAAAATTTGCTTCATATACGGTTTGGCGTGAACTTTGATGATGGCAACAAGACTGGCAAGTTGTCTTAAAAAGAACTCTCGATGGGATGGTCGACCACGACATGCACGGGTCACTTCGATCAGTCGAGGTACCACCTATATATGAAAATACACATGCTAATTGTAACCATCGGATCTGCAACTGAAGATAACCAGAAACTGAACCATTTCCATGTACTTCTTGTACTTGTTCTTTACATAAGGTATAAGATAGCTTCACAATGTTTACTCCGCAGAACAACCCACAGGTCAAATAGCACATAGTCCAACAATCCTTCTACCGTCACCAAGCCATCGGGATTTCCACAAAAGGCATGGAAGGGAGGCGCAGCAAAAAAGAGCATCACTAGAGTATTTTTTCGAAGCCGAGAATATTTTAATTTGGGATCTCGAGAAAAGCGTAATTCGATTACAATCGGCCATTGATATTTGAGTACTAGAGTAGAAACAAAGTGAGGAAAGAACTTAGACAAATTTACAGCTTGTGCAACGCAGAGACTAAAGAGTTCTCTTGTTTTTTTTCTAGTCAACTCAAATCCCCATTAATTTTAGGTGTTAGATGCTTGGCAGTTCAAGAGACTTCAATCCAACCATATTCAGACAAGTTAATAAGAGTTTCACCTGCTGAACGTATTGCGGGAACGAGTCACCAAGACTCCTAAATATGGTGAGTAAGGCCTGTGCAATCTCCTTGTAGTACTGCGTGAATGCTTCATCTTGAACCTGCAGTAAAAAAGTAAATGTGCTTCATCCCGTACAGAGATTGCAAAGAAAATCTTACCATGACCATTAGATTCGCAATTGTAATTGCAGGATAGAACTCCTCCAATGTGCATTTCTCGTAATTATACCACTGTATAATATCTGGAACGAAATCAAACACTTCGCGAAAATAGGTTCAACAGGAAATCAAAATCAAAGGATGAAAACAACACTGCTATCATTACGCGCTTTGTTCTAAACACTTATTTGGGAACATGGAACAACAGGAACGCCCCCCCCCACCTTGTATAAAGCACATGACTAAGCAGTATTTAAAGAAGGTTATGCCTACCTTGCCTAGGATCAGCGGCATCTCTCGCCATCGGAAGCGATAGAGCAGTACTGATCGATGTGGCTGACTGAACCGCGCCCGTGAACACCTAGAAAAGGGGAACCTAGAAAATGGAATCCGCATGAAAGTTTTAATCGAGTATCAGCATTGGGCCTCAACCTTTGATAATATTGAAATCCAAGCTAGTGATGTTTCATGAATATAGTTACCTTGTGAGTGTACGGATCCAATGCTCCAAGTATACCGAGCGTTTTGATAGCCTGACGTCGCATCCTCGATGACATCTCGGTCTTCAGGAGCCTATACTGACCAAGATTTTATAGATTCCAGCAAAACCAACATAACTGTGCAATTAGGAACCTGAGCAGATCATCTAGAAGATTCGGATAATCCTTATATGGATCGACAACGTAAGCTGTAGAACGTGCGATCCGTCCTATTGTGCGTAGAGCCGCCTTAACAAGCGTGAATATATTCATCGCATAGTGAATGCTAGATTTATGAATGCTACTCCTCATTACATGATTATTCGTAAAAAGTTCGGTGGGTAGGTAGGTTACAAAATGAGATTCAAGGTTCAGTTTGAACACGAGCCAAGCGGAGCTTCACCTCCTTGAGCTTTAAAAAGTGTGTGCCCAAATTACAAAATCTCGAATCAGTAAAAACAAGTTTCAAGAGCAGGAAAAATGTCCGAAAAGAAAGAATAAATTCTCACCCAAAGAGAACAAAACGTTATCCAAATGGGTGAGGCTATGCGAGAATTCATTATTCGGGGCTAGAACGACGTCAGAAACGAATCAAAGAAATTTCACCTCTCTCCGTTGCAAGCTGCTCGAATCATTAATCAGCTGAGTGAGTTTTTGGAACAAAGGATCGATGTTCCTAACAATCTCGGCTCCGCCAACCACACACAACTCGGAAATGGCGTGAAGTACGTGAACTGTGACATCAACGTGCTGAAATCAGTTGTCATCGAAAGTAACCTTAATATTCGATTAGGTACCCACTTTCATTTCATTTCTTAGCTTCGGAAGTAGCGCCTGAAGAAGTGGACCGAGATAGGGCCGCATAAATTTCGGACTTTGTCGAGTGAGCTGAGTGAGAAGGCGAGCACTGTGCTGTTCAAGCCTGAAGAGACCCTCGCTTCGATGAATAAATGACTATTTTCTAACAAGGCTGAAAAGTCAATTTTCGGAGCGACTCACTTGGCTTGTCCACTATTTGTCAACTGACTTAGAGTCTCAAGCAGCACTCGCCTCATCCTGGGCAATACTAAAGCGGGATTCAGTTCTGATAAACGGCCAAGGAGGCAAACAGCAGCCTACAAAAGGAAGTTTTGAACAGAGTATAATATTTGTGTAGTACAAAATTCAAAATGTACCTCTTGCATCTCCAATTTCTCGTCATGAAGACTCATGAACTGCAGTTGAAGCATTTCCGGCTGTGCTAGATGTGACAAAAAAGCACGATCTGCTTCGCAGAAGCACTGCATTACGCATAACCGCACTTCCAACTCTGCGAAAGAAATGTCGGTATTAGAGGTAATCAAAAGTAACAAAGTGAAATGATCTAACATGAGTTTTCCGGCCATCTAACAACAAAACCTACAATCAAAAATTTTCTCAAGCACAACATCCCTCGCAATCGAAAATCAAAGAAAAATGTTCAGCAAAAGCATACGGGCGAATCACGTCATACTATACACGTTATGTTAACAGTAAAAAAATAAGCAAAACGAAGCAGAAATGTGAGAGGCGATAGAAAGAAAACCGAAAATAAGAGTGAATAAATGGATAGAATTCCTTACGGGGATCAACAACTCCAGCGCTAACCAAACTCCTCAGAACTCCATGAATAAGAGCTAATACCCACTGTCGATGTTCACGATGTACTTTTTCATACACCTAGAACAAAAAAAAAATAAATGAGATCATATGACCTCGGTAAGCAACTGAACGCGATGCGTTATTTACCAATCTTTTATTACTGGTTGTCATCTCACCTTCACAAACGGCTTCGATATTGCTGCACAGCATCTAACGGCAGCCAATCTCACTGCTACTGATTCACTCAATAAATACCCCTGAATTATTGGAAATGTCTCTGCTGATATTATGAAACACACAAAATAACTCGAGAACATACGTCAGAAATGAACTGCATGAACATCTCCAAGTAATGCCGTTGAAAATCAAATTCGCCTAGAGTATCCAACGCTAATATCGTAAGAGGAACATTTGACACCTACAAATATCAGTGATCGCGAAGAAACATAAGCTAAACCAAATGCTCAACCTGTAACGTTTGTGAAGGAAGGGCTGGCTTTTTCGGGGGATCCAGCTTGCTCGGTAGAACAGAACCTGAAACATTCCAATTTAATGTTAGAATTCGAAGCTCTCACAGATGAAAAGCAGACCAGTCAAAATCATGTATAACTCCTTCATCAATCCATCTTGTACATCCATTTGCAGTTGGTTAATGTGACGTACAATCTCATGCATAACACTGGTGAGACCTAAACATATGCTCAGTAATTTTCGAAATCCATTGTGCTTTGAGGTGAGTATTTTTAGTTTGTAGGTGATGAGAAGTTCTGAGAGAGCATAAGGAGCCAAGGTCAGTCAATCAAGTAAGAAGGAAGGGACCGTACGTGAACCATGTTGCCAGGGAGCCATTCTTAAACTCAGGCCCTAACGCAGAATAGTAAAAATTCCAATCAATTATAATTTGAAGACCAGCTTGTCAGAGGCTAAAATGGTTAGCTCATTGCAGCAATAACCTTGATCATGTTACATACAACATAATGCTGTNGCATATAAATATTACACAACATTACAGATTTATAAGACCCTCGCATCAAGTTTACTCGAGATCGGATAGGTTCTTCTAATGATTTGAAATGGTTTTGCAGATAAAAGAAGACCTTTGTTATTGGACGAACCTTTCGAGAGACCCGTTTTGAATAGTAGACCCAATAGTTGTTTTATCTCATTCGTCACTGATTGCTTGTATGCTTTGACAAATAAGGTTAGAAAGATAAACACAGATGGTTCTGGAGCACGTTTCCTGGAATATCGTCATTGAGCAAAAGAGACAGACGTGTAAGGCTGAAGTTCGCTCTCAACTAGGTTGATTCAGTGAAAAAACTCAGTAGCTCCGCAATCGATGCGCAAGAATCCCGAATCCGAATTCGAAGCGCTTGAAGATTAGCTAATCAGCTAATGAGTATCAGTACCATATTTCTAATCTCTTAGAAGAAATACTCAACCAACACTGACTTCGAAACGGCGGTATTTAGCATGTCAGTCACAACCATCATCATCTGCCCAATATTCCCGCTGAATCGTTCAGGGTTCTGAAGCATCAGCAAACCAAGAGCCACCAGCGCGTTACTATTCTTTTGAACTCTGAACAATTATGTAACAAATCAAGAACTTAAGACAGAAATCAGATTAAGAATAGTCTGAGGTAACAAAAATCATTCGAATTGCTGATAACATGATTCCGTGTTTCAAAATAACGTACATATTTTTTGCATGTTCGAACATGACCTTGCATAGCGATGGATCACACTGATCCCACGCCGACAAACGAGGGAAAAGCTCAAGTAGCGTTTGATGTACTGGAACCGATCGGTTACAGCTAACCGCTGCGGCTTTGGCATGCCCACAAATCTGAAAAAAACATCAAAAAATCAAAAGATACATGTCTGTCATGGATAACCAGTATCGTTCACAAACAGTAAACCAAGGAGATATACTCTTAATGCGCTAGTAATTCAGATATCAACATTCTTAACCGACAAGATGCCCCATCGACTACGCAAGAATAATGGACCCGCTGTAACGGCTCCAAGAAGCGGTGCAACATTTGAAAATGAAAAGAGATTAGTCTTAGAGGCTCAGTAGGCTACCGGTAATCGGATAAAATAATGGGATATGCATGGATCAGCAGACAAACCTCGGCGAAATTGGCTGTGACGAGGGCACGAGCAGTGCTGCTTTCAACGGTGGTCGCTACTCTAAAAATTAGAAACACTCGCCTGGGGATGCTGAATTGAGAATGAACACAACACTGAATTGCTGTGAGAACAGGTGGTTCCAACAGATGAAATGTCATCACGAAGTCAAATATATTCAAAAGTAATTATACCTCGATTGAGTTAACCACTCGATAGGCGCTGCTACTGAAGTTTCGGTTTGACGAATATCAAGAGCTTCCAATCGCGTTCGTTCAAATGTTGCATCAGCAATTCGAACTAACTCGTTTAAAACCTTGAACAAGGGAAATAGAAGCTTCACTACTTTATACGAAGCTTTGCTGCTCAAGAAGTTGTTCATTATTTGCAAAAAGCACAACAATGGGATTTGCAGTGGCAAGCTTGAGGGTTCCTTGTAAGAAAAAACAACAAACGGCTGAATAATATCAGTTGCATGCTCGGAATAGGAACAATCTTGCATCTGGAGACTTACCAACAGCATTGAATGAGTGCGATCATCCTTGGACAGTTCGGTGACTTTCATGGTATTGAGTGCTTCAGCATAACATTTCTGAAAGTAGTGCTGATGACTTGCAGGCAGGCAAGAATAAATAAACCAGACAAAGACTACGCGAAGAATTAACGATGTCTCCAGAATAGAACGATGTGCTTCGAATATAAATTGATAATTTAAGCAGTTTTCTGCACAAAAAACGAAATTACCTTCGAATTTTGTTTTCAGATGCTACACGAATGGCGCAATAGTGACAACCCAAGCGATGTCAAGTATCAAACTCACCGTGTACCACTCCGTTTTCAATTTTGCCTCCCGAGCTGATGTTATAGAAAGAGCCGCATGAAGAGCGTTGATAGATGCGATTCGGATTTGTGGCTGTAATAATGTACAGCAGTTGAGAGTGAACAGAGTCAGCATTCTCTCTATCAGTTGAAGTTACTTTTATTTCGAATTAGGTTTCAAAGTGTTACAAACTTCAGTGGGTTAGATTATGATATCAGGTAGAAATAATACGACTGCTTAACCTGTACAATGCCGTTTCACTTGAGATCAAAAGATCACACCTTCCCTACTTATCTCCTACTCCCTTAAAAGAAATACAGGGAAACAACAAAAGTACGATGCCTATAACGAGTTTGCACGTATAACTTCAATGCAGTACAATTTCCAACCAATACCTTTGGATCCCTGAGTACTGTGAAGATACTTTTAAAGAAAACATTGGCACGAAGGAAGAATGACGTCGATGTAAACATAGCAAGCTCTCTGGCGAGCAATACCGAGGCCAAACGCCGCTGTTCATTTCGGACTGGCTCCTGAAAATCAACGCTCAACACCTCAACTTAATAAGATTCTCGTATATCAAAGCACTTGCCTCCAGCCATTCCAGGCACTGATCCAGGCACTTCTCGACTAATTCTGCTGCATACGACTTCGAGGTCTAAAAATCGTCTGGTAATTGTGATTAATTGACTGATCTCTGAGCCACCAAATTCATGTAGATCGACGAATACTTATGATACAACGCTCAAACTGCTGGAGACCATTCATCAAGGTCGCCTTCACATTTGAAAACATCAAATAAAACGAGAGAATTCCATGAGGGGTGGTTAGCTCATAGAATTCGGCCGCAAACACCTTTCTCTTTCTTGACGATGAATAGGAAAACCCCAAATACAACTCGTACAAAACACTTTGAAAAGAAGCGAGCAACCGTTGCTTGAATTTATATTTCGATAATTCTATGTTTGATGCAGCAGGGGAAACATAACACATCTTAAGTTCTTTCAGCACCGTTGATTGGATATCTCACCTGTATCAAGAAAGCGAGAGCTCTGGCAGCCAGCTCCATTCCAGCTTCATCCATATTTGGCATTGTAAGAACTTTCAACAGGAAGTTAGCAAACCGTACAACACGGTTCGACTCACCATCTATTGACGTCTCAGCTAGACATACTGAAACAATGCTTGATTACTTACCTGCAAGGGCGTTAGCAGGAAGAAATAACCACAAAAAATTCTTACTCAAAGTAAATTTTCGAAATTTTTTAAGTTTCTGCTGTTTCGCGATCACCTTTATTACAGGAAAACATGCAACGAGACCGCCTTATAGTCTTTCCCTTGTCGAATCCCCTACTGTTTTCCTCAAAACTACACGGCAAGGCAAGCGCCTACACCAGCACTCAGTATTTCTCCCAACAACAAACAATCGATAGGATGCAGTGCCAAAGCAACACCAATATCCTAAACGGCTGGGAAAAACTCATGCCAACGTACCTATTAGGAAAATACCAGCTTTTTTCTCATCCAAGTCGGGACTATAGATACATTCATGGACGGCACTCTGAAAAACCAAATTGCTTTCAAAAAGACCAATCAAATTTAGTGAAGAAAAAGACCAGAGAAGATTGGAATTACCTGCATCATTAGGAAAGAATAGAAAAACCCTATTACCAAGGTTTCTAATATACTGCTGGAATGACTACATGAAAGTAGAACAAGCAAATACCTGATCACTCTTAGTGTCGAGAAATGATATGAATTCCTGCATATATTCAGGAGCTTCATCCTTCAGTTCACCAGCCACAAACCTATAATAAATGGATATTCGTTTAAAGTAGAGAATTTTTGAAAGTAGGTAACCAACTGTAATGGCAGTACAATCGCTAGATTAGACGAATTCTCTATATAAACATGTGAATTCCCAAAGCCCTAAAACCGTCAGGGTTTCAAACCGCAGCATAGAAACTCTGCATTCCGTCTTACTTATAAAGTTGCTTCCGTACCCAAAATCGCCTGGCAGTGAAACAATGTCGGTTTCCTTCCAAAGCCCTTCATATGTCTACTCCAGGACTAATCTACCTAAGGGAGAAAATTGATACGTTGTGTGCGAAGCATGTTACCCCAGGACACATTTCCAGCCTACAGGGATTGTTGACGACATTAGTTGACCTAGCATGATCCATAGAATCATGTAATCGTACCACTTCTGCCCGAACAAGTCTCAGGTCAACGGACGATCTCAAGAAGTCGAGTGCATGGCGCACCTTCATCTTTACTCAAATGTGCACTTTTTTCCTTTCTGTAGCCAATATATCTTACTTGAATAAATCCTTGGCTGTTTTTATACGTTTTTCGTCGTTCTTCGTCTTCAAGCCGGCCAAGAACGCACCGGCCGCCGCTCTTGCATTTGCATCGCGGGATTTATCTCTTTCAGATGTTTCCATTATTTACAAAACAAACCTGAAACTAATTCTCTGGTTTTAGCTACTTCAGAGTCGAAAGGAAATGCGAGTGTCGAAAAAGGACATCAAGACAAACAAAACTGCTGATCGCTTGTGTACTTCCTCGCCATGGCATCATTTATATATGTTCTTTAACCGTATCTAAGCATCAATTAGTTGACTGTGATAGGTCGACTAAAAACGTACCTGAGAGAATTAAGCTACGCAAGCATCGAAATTTAGTGCTGTGCTGCCCGGATAAGCTATTTCATTCCAACAACCCACCTGAGAACAACGAGTAAATTACAAGCGTGGCGCGAAGATTTAACTTTCAAACATGTTCTCTGAGGTGAGGAGGGATTAACCAAGAGCTAGCCCGATCTCTTCAACTAGGTAATCTCTTTATCTATAAAGCACTAACTTTGCGTGTCTGTTTGTAAGTCGGTTTGTGCGTCCGTCCGCAAAAAGTCACGTAGGCGCGATGAGGATTGTGAAATGTCACGTGGGCGCTTGTTGGCATAGATGAGGAACATGGGGGTGTTATGGAACGAACATTACGGAACACCGCATATGGACATTACTCTACTTCTGTCTCCAATATCTGTATGATCTCTTGGATTAGAGATATACAAAAGCAAACTGTGCTCATGAGTTATGCCTTATATGTTATATAACTCTTGATTTCTGCACGATTTCATCCTCATCATATATCACGTGACCTCACGTATCGTATTTAACCTCTCCGCGATAAGCGGTTCTACTAACCAAAGTTTTGAAGCGTATCTCACCAGCCGTTTCAATCCTTCACTACCTGTGCCTAATTCCTCGTCTATTATTACTCTACTCTTTTAGCTGTAGAATTCAATTACAGCAGTGAATCACGAAGTCGACCGTACTCTGAAGATGGAGAAACTATCACCATGTGTAAGTATGGGACATGTACCTAGTCTATATAGTATTATTATCGTGTAACTGTATGACCTTCCAGTACTTCAGTTTGTTGTTGGGACCACCTCGGATCCGTACAGTGTTCTCCAGATTTACGACGAGGCCTACGGTATGTTAACACGTTGACGACAATGTCGCGCAATGGTGCGCGACAGCCAGTCTGTCTCATTAGACGATGTCGCGCAATGCTGCGCGACGGTGCATTCTTCAATTAAAGTGTGTGTGCTCGTTCCGTTTTTTGTGCAAATTTTCAATTTAGGCTTATAATTGTCCAAAATAGCAAAGGCCACCTGTTAACTTAATTCCAAGACGAATAATACAAATACAAGACAGGATCAACCGCAGAAGCCAAATCGTCGCCGTCCAAACTACCTGCAGCATGATCGTCGCTGTCGAGCAGCCAGTGGTCAAAACTTTCGTTTAAGTCTTCCATTTCAATATCCGGGACACTCATGATGACAAAAATAGTCGCAAGAATTATAATACTCTAAGGGATCCTATTTAAATACTCCTAATGCAAATTTATCACCGCCGAATTTGAAATTATCCCAAGTAGCCGCAAATCTTGGGCAAATTTGAATACAGCTGTAAGGTTTGCGGATTTCAAATGTTTTCGACTGTAATCACTCATTTTCTCGAGAAACAACAAATTTCTAAGAAGGAATTTGAAATTATCCCAAGTATCCCAATTTTTTCATGTCTGTCCCACGGGACAGACACGAAAAAATTGGCTCGTCGTCAACGTGTTAACGTGTAGGGATAGCCGGTCTGGCACCTATAACCTATGGTGAGAAGCCGGTCACGGCTGATGATGACCTGGGGATGCGTCCTCCCCGCAGGATATGCGAGGACGTGGCAAGGAGCGGATGCCGGGAGAGTAGCGTAAGGGTACTTACCCCGCTCGAAATCATACCCCGCTCGAAATCATACCCCTTCAAGCTGCCCAGCATGTATATTGATGCTGTCAAGTTTACAAATAAGAATCCCTGGACGGCCATGAGTTGGAAGCTGGTGCAGCCTCGTCGCACGATAGTGGTGCTGCTGGAGAGATTTCAGGGCGTACTCGAGTGCTTCGAGTCGCCTCTAATGACTGCGGAACTGATCGTTTGGCCAGACGATATTCAGGCAGCATGGTTTGAGGGGGAGTGGTCAGCGGTTAGGGTGTTTCGCCGGCACGCTACTTTGAAGCTTCACGTTGGATGAATGCGTGGTTACCGATAGTGCGAGCTGTTGCTAAGGGAGCGAATTCTATGACCTACGAGGACCTAAAGTCGACCTCCTCAGAGATTTCGCGGAGGAGACAGTGATGCAGAGGCTTTCTTTGAAGCAGCGCATTCACTGTCTCTTGCCGCTGAAATCGGAGGAGCACATGAGTGATGCACTGTTCAAGATATTGGAGGATAAAATGAACCTTGTAACAGAGCCCTATTTTACCCAGAGTGCGGCTAAGCGGTTTTGGACTTCCACGAGGTTGCAATTCGATGATCAGGCTGCCGGAAGGTCAGCGACTGAGCACAAATGCCGCTTTGGGAATCGTACACCGCAACAGGCAGCAGCCCACTCAAGTCGGGACCATCACTTCAATAGACCTTTGAACTCAGGTCTACCAAAACAGCAGAGGAACCGTTCCTTCTCCCGTCCATGTGCTTATTTTGAGTGCTCAGGACAACAGGAGAATAGCCCGTCTTGTGGCGAATACTTCTTTGTATGTGAGTCAGATCCGAGCTCAGATGGGTTTATCAGTCTTGCATACGACCGTTTGGCGCTCTATCCGGTCTAATGAGTATATCGCACGAGAGACGATGAAGAAGGTTCCTCGATTCATTACTTGCCACAGGCTGACAACGCTGGAGTTTGCTCGCCCCAGACCATTAAAGAGCCTCCTCCGAAATTCCTTCTCGAAAACACGAGTGGTCTCGGCGAAGGTACCTCAGTGGTCTCGGCGAAGGTACCTCTAGTAATGACGAAATCCATCGGGCCCATCGAGATTGTACTTCTTTTCATCAGAAAAGATCACCTAAGAACAAAATGGACACACTACATTGTTTGTTCTAGAAATAGGAAAATCCTGAAATTTCTTGAACATCCGTACCTTAATCCATGATGTTGCCATGTTCCTACGAGCAAACTCCAGCCTTGTCATCTTGTGGCGAGTATTGAGTCGAGAAGCCTTCTTCATCGTCTCTCGTGTTATATACTCGTTAGAGCGGATAGAGCGCCAAACGGTCGTACGGGGACTGACAAACCCATCTAAACTCGGATCTGACTCACAGACAAAGAAGTATTAGCCACAAGACGACCTATTCTAACATTGTCCTGAGCAGTCAAAATACGTAGACGGCCAGGAATAGGTTGTGAGCGATAGTGCCAGGGTCTCGCGTGAATCTAGCAATGCCTCAAAAAGAGCGGCCCAGTTGTCGTTCCAAAAGTATGTGCACACTCAAAATTTTTCATTTCAAAGGTAACTAAAGAACCTACCGTAACGAAACCATTCTCAAACGACTCCTCGTAGTCGATAACCCGTACAGGAATTTGAGAGGCCCTATTGGTTCCTGTTCTCGCTTAAAATTTTGTTTTTTGCTAAGTGTGCACATACTTTTGAAACAAAGGAAAAACTTTTCTTTAACAAAAAATTGTGTTAGCACTACAATGTTTTCTCAGGTGTTAGCAGCTACGATGTTCTCAGAGAAAGTGTTCGTAGGTTATCGCACTAAGTAATGTTCGTAGGCTATCGCACTAAGGAATTGAATGGTGAAGGTCACAGGTTACAGAAAACAATGGTATTCCAAAAACAACAAATTGTTGGGTGTGCACATATGTACTTTTGAAACGCACGTAGATGGAGCCTTGAGAACCATGAAACATCATGTGGTGGAACATGAACATGGAACAGAACGCTAAGCAAGTGCGAAGGATGACGGAAAAAGTCGCACACGCCCTCCTGAGGATATTTCCACATTACTCGAAGACAACATGGAAGTAACACAGATGCAAACATCGCCACCAAGTAGGATGTCCAGTAAAGCGCAGTCACCAGAGGAGCCTCGGCGGGGCGAAGAAGAGGTGGAACTCAGAGCAAGAAAGACTCGAAAAAAGCGGGAGTTTGTGCCGGACGAAGCCAAGTCCCACCGTCCCATGAAGACGACGAAAGTAACAAAGTAAAAGATACCCTCCCCTGTATTCCAGTCAAAGTCGCGCTTAAAGCATTTCAGAGAGTGCCATCCAAGAAGGACGTGCGCCTCGAAATCCAAGCAGTGCACGTCAGAAGCTCGCATAGTTGTCTGCGGTTTTTGCCGCGAGCGTGGAAAGCATTTCAACCGATGCTTGTCCAACGTTTCCGGAAGTAAAACAAAGAAGAGCTCCGATCAAGAGTGAAAGAATGAGGCGCCTTTGCTTAAAAGCGCAATGCGACGAGCGGTGCAGGACAAGTATGTATCAGATGCGAGTATTGTGGAGATAAGGCGCACCACGAATCGTTGTGCGCTCTTCCCGAAGAACGTCAAGAACCGATTGAAATCCTCAATTGCTACGACAATCGTGACAGTGTGCGAAACAGGAAGTGCACCTTCGAGCAAGCCATGAGGGAAGATCTTCTGAGACGGTGTTATAAAATGCACTTCACAAAACACTGTGTACAACCATACTTGTACTTTTATATCTGATCTCTGTACGATCTCTTAGATTAGAGATATCCAACAAGAGCAAAGGTTGTGCTCATATGTTATGCCTTATAGGTTATATAACTCTTGACTTAAAGTTTGTTCTCATCGTATATCACCTAACCTAACATAACATTTTTAACTCTCCGCGATAAACGATTTGATTAACCAAAGTTTCAAAGTGTCCCTTGCCAGGACGGTTCAGTCCTTTACTACTTGTGCTTAACTCCTCGTCTATTATTATCTTGCTCTTTTAGATGTTGAACTCAATTGCAGTTTGAGTCGCGGAGGCCGAAGTAACAGGGAACTCCGCCGGTCGGCGAGAAGACTTATTGATCAACTAAGAAGCTACTGTATTCGGAGTTGGCCTAGAGCCAAAANAAAAGAAGGCTTCGGCAGGTAGCGCAAAAGAGTGTGAACAATAGGACGAAAAGACAATGAATCACGGGACACAGCACAGGTTGATCCGTATTCATCTCCACTTACACTTTTTAAATTGACTGGTCTCACTCACCCAAACGGATCGCTTGGTGATTTGCACGCGTTAGCGTGCGCAGCCGAACTGGTAACGTACAATAGTAAAGGAGCGGCCATTCACCACCAAGAACAACTTTGGTATTGACACTGTAAGGGCTCAAGAGATTTTGGTGCGAGGTAAAGGCTTAGCTTCTAGTCTCAATATAGTTGCGATTTTCCATTTGAGTTTGTAGGGCCATCCGTTGAATGATAGCTTTACTACGGACCACCTATGCAAATATGCTTTACTTATTCTGTTCAGATTGATAATTACCATATTTTTTGTACACCACTATACATATACACAGTCATATGCATCAATATATTTATGCCAGTTTATACAAAAAAATGCAAAAAGTACTGTCGTAACAACACTTGCTTTGGTGTTCAGTGAGGCTAACACGCAGCTATGTTTACAGGCAATGAAACAGTAGAAAAATAAAATAACTAAACGGGCAGACCAACGTCTCACCCGTGATGTTATTAGTGTTAAAATGCTGGCCCATTATGGTGGGTCCTCTGGATTCCCCTTACCATTCAGAACTCGGTCTACATTAGGGAGTCGTCTTATACAATGACACGACGGAAAAGTGAGAGGTGATCGTTGCGGGATGGCGATAAAGTTACTCCCTTAATTCACCTCGTCCCAGGAACTATGAACATGTACAGTTTTCGAATTTGAGCGTTATAAACATGAACACAATAACTGCTAAACAATCGAGAACACAAACTACTGAATGCCATCACATGCCGACTAGAACTTTTCCAGGTTTCGTGGATGTACTTTGTTAGGAGTCATAAACTTTTCTTTTCGAATTACTTTTCGAGCGTGACTAAACCCAACTGCACTGAGAAACTGATTTGCTGCGTAACGGACCTGGAACGAAATAATATTAGCGGAATATAAATCTTCAAAATATGTATTAGGTTGAGTAAAAAGTTTTGATCGATCTTCGTTCCTTTTTTCGTAGGACCGCTCGGAAGGTCTTCGTAATGGGTTATGGTAGATCGATCCCTAACCTGTATTTTTAAAAGAATATATAAGCATCCCCTTGGAAGTGCTTCGCGAAACGACTTCAACCTTAAACTGGTGTCCGAAGCTGTCTGAGAGCTATCGTCTATCAGAATTACTGTAAGGGCATAATCCACCGACGGCTGTCGCAAATATCTATGGTGCATCCAGAAGGGTCATCGTATCTCAGCCCACGGGTGCCTCATGACGAAGCACCTCCAAGACTAACAGAGAAGTAGACTATGTCCGAGGAAGGTTTTACTGTGTCGTCGGTGGACATTCTCAGGGAATGCTCTACATCGGATAACTTACTGAGGGCTCCACCGTGACCGCCGAGATTTACGCTTTTCAGCTACAGAGTTTGGTCGACGTTGTTCGAAGGAAGCGTCCGCAGCGTNTTTTGATGACTGCCCGGAGCTCAAAGATGAGACCTCCAGCTTTTTCGAATCATGGCCGCCACCCTTCTAGGCTTCAGGAGTCAAGAAACTGCCGGTTCGTTAGACGTATGTTTAGGACACGATGGAGACTATATTACTAATTGAGATCCTCTTACAATGGAAATAAGACTTTTGAAAGTGAAGATTGAAAAGCCGATCAAAACTTTTTACTCAACCTAATATTTTAGTTTGGGTTCTCTACCAACATCCTCTTGGAAAAAAGTCTCCCCTTTTTTTCTACACGTGAGTGGAACGGAGTCGTTAACGGGATGTTGTATTTCACCTCTGTACTTTGTTTGTGGGACTCTATCCATTGAATAGGACCTGGGAACCATAGGAACAGACCCTGTTGGAGAACGTTGATGTTGACCGGAATTCTAGGCCAGCCTTCAGCCTTTGGGGGAAGCATATAAATGAGGATCAAAGGCGCTGTCAAGGCCACCTCCTTGACACTCGGCTACCTTAGCTAGCACGTATTTGTTAAAAATCGGATATGGTGCGTACTTCTCTGTTCACGACGAGATAGACGACGGAGTTCGTTCCACAGTTTGCTACAAGAGTAACAGCAGTTGGGACATATGCTTCAGAAGTTTGGACGCCCATGATGGGAAATAAGAAGAACGCCAACCATGAAATAGTATAGGTCAGGAACATCAGCAGAAACTGTAGAGCATATCTGAAAGGAGGTTTGATTAAAAGGAATGTAAAAATCGGCTAGAGAGAGCTAAAGAACAATGTCTCCGAGTAACAATAGGAAAGGTCGGTCCGGTTGCTAACGAGAGAAACTCCTCCGTTGGGAGAGATTCGTTAGAAGTAAGCGACATATTACGTTTATTATCTAGTAGCCTAAAAGAAAGGAATCTAGGATGAATAATCGAGCTGCTAATCAAAATAAACCACAGAGGGGCCCTCAGGTGGCGGTCCTGGATCATCTTTCTATGTAAAAGCGGTTACAATAGGGTTTGTAGCATCATTTTCGGGTGTTCGACTTCCACAACGCCCTCTTTGCTCAAGTTCATCAGACCCTCCGAACTAGCCTCACATGGCTGGTTTATCTTACTGAATTCGATTCAGATCCAAAGTTGTTTCTATTTCTCTGCTTACAACGTTCGAATGTTAAGGGATGGGCCACGCAACTAACATTCCCTCAGAACTGGTGAGGCATTGAGCACTTTCGGACCAACTGATCCTCATAGCCGGATCCGATGCATCCAGAAAGAGTATTCTGGAGCTGATAGCTGGAGCTCTCAGATCCCCAATATTTGCCATGGTTCATCTTGTCCATTGTACTACACATCGTTACAATATTCTCTAGGATCGACACCTACGGGATATAATTATATTCAAGGCTATCAACTTTATTAGATGCCCTTTGATAACTGCAAAAAATAAAGATGGAAGCTATCGCAAGAATTTCAACCTACTTCAGTCCCTTCGACCCTGCTCCTCCTCCAGTATCAATGATGTGTTTGAAAAACTGAAAAAAATCACATAACAATTCTCTAACAATTCAATGATCATAAAAAATATGAGGTTTTCAGGATTTCGGATTGTGGAGAGTTATTCCGTACCATAAGTTATTTAACATTCTGTTGGTTTTATTTATTCATGCACGAATCAACTTACAGCAAAGTAGGAGATGCCAGCTAAGGCTGATGTGGTGAGGAAAAGTGGGATATCGACATGAGCCATAGCAAAATTATAAGTCTGATTTGAAACGGCCGAGTATGAGTAACTGTAGATCTTAGGATTGGGAACGATCCTGAAAAAGTCAGAGATAGTTATTGTAGGCTCTAACTTCTCAATCCACAGTTTTTCACTCATAATTTTGATTATTTGCAAAGTACCACAACAGCCCAAGAGCGTCACGACCTTTCCGCGGTTGTTGGAACTGTACCCCCATGTTCTCTCTTGTACCGGTCGTTTGAATTGTCCACCTTTCTGTTCACATTGATAGGCCGAATAACGAGACGGAATGAAGTCTATCTTTTGCTATTCAGCCCTGTAAGGTCTCGCAGGACCTCTGCAAGCCTAGAGGGATTTTGGACGTGGAGGAAACAGTACTGCCTCTCCCCAATACTTTTCCTATTTTTTCACTACTAAACCATTTCGGAAAAGTTCAACTGATTTTATTACAATTCAAATGTACTGACAAACAAAAATGAGGTAAATGAGTTCCGAAACTTACCGGCAACAGGGCAAAATGAACTGCGTATACATAGTAATACCTACAGTAGCCATACAACAAAAAGCAATCAGAACCAGTACCCGACGATGGGTGAAGAAGGCCTCGCTTGGAAAGTAAACCACAGCAAGCCTGTAAAAATTTTTGGTAGCAGTATATTTCAAAATATGTTCATTGAAAAGTTGCAGAGCGAACATGATCAGGAAGCACTGATGGGTTTTACGGGATGCGCCGCGTACTCGCTCTCCGGGCTAAGTTGAGAGGCATTCGAAGGTGAATCATACCCACGTTGAATTAATGGAGCCAGTCATGCTGATAGTCAATCCCTAGATAATCTTGAAACCAATAAGAGTTTGGATTGAAATGGATACTTCTCTATCTTTCAGTGATCACCCAACTGATGTGAGCCTTCCAGGTCCCTGGTGAGGTGAGTCTTCCAAGTGCTTGGCGCGTTTTAAAAAAGCTTCCAGATTCTCAAAATTGTTTCTACTCACCGATTTATGGCCAAAAGTATTTGAACAAGCGATCCCATATACCAGAAACTGATAAATAGTGTGTCTATGGATATGACACTGGCCGTATCCAACCCTCCGAACAAAAAATCCTAAAAATAAAATTTTAGCGAATTTTACGTGAAGGGATGCATTGCTGAAGTACTGTAAACTAACTCCTCTGACGAACGACGGTCCTATAAAGAACGCGTGAAGAAGTACTTGGCAGGTTTCGCATAGAATGCTAAAGCCTACCAAAACGTAGACAGGATTATCCTCTATCCAGAAGAGTCGACCTGAATAGACATAAGATTGATCAGTTCTTTCCGACTGGTCATAGTCTTTTCTGATCAAAGCCTAAAACTGGGTTAGGGGAGGAAAGTCATTCTACGAAAGAAGCTTGTGGAAGGTGCATCTCATCGGGCTGTGAAAATTCCACTATGAATCCGTTCTCTTAGTCAAATGGAACCATATCCAAACTCTACTTCTTTTTCTTTTTTTAACCTTTTTTTAAAATTAATACTATTCACGTCGATCCAAGGTGTTACTTACCTTTAATCATGCATACGAACACAAAAATATTCATAAGAAGGACGATCCACACTTCCAAATTGAAGAAGAAGCCGATGATCAAACGAATGATATCCATTACCTGGAAATGTTGGAAATGGAGACATAAACACCTCAGCCTCGTAGAACTTTCAAGAAAGGCTCCCCAGGAAAAGGAAAGTGACGGAATGAAGTCCGCATCAAACAGTCTTTCTGTCTGGTTACTAGCTTTTTTTGCAATAATTCAATAAATCGAAAAAATTCCTAATTTTTATGGGCGGAAAACCCAGAAGTTCAAAGTTATAACGAGGAAGTAGCGAACGAAATCTCAGACAGAATACTTAGGGTATAAACTAGCTTATATACCATCTTAGGGTGACCTTCAGGTAATGTCAAATTTTCCAAGTGATAAACAAAAGCAAGGGCTTAGCCGATTACAAGTATCTGTATGGATGCTGAAAGCCTCCTACGCTACTTCGTTTGTTCTCCATTGCGACATTACTTAATGGACAAAGTACGGATATCATAACATCCATACGGTAGTTCCTGTTTGGGAAATTTTCTTCTACCAAAACTTACTACTTGACACTTATAACAAAAAAGGCTATCGACATGGTGAAAGGCAAAAGTGTGAGCTTCAGATCTCCCCCAGGAGAAATTTCTTTCTTGACCTATTTAGTAAGCTATCTAGCTACGTACCAAGAGGTGCCGGACTTGTCCATGAAGATAAAAACACAGACTGTTGGTATCTTTTGTCCCAATTGGTTGCTCATGTATGGGCTCAGTGCACATTCAAAGATCATTGCTACTCTAATTTCTATCTATTCCTATTCTAATTGGAGTTGTATGAATTATGCTTGATCAAGTGAGGGAGCCTGATCAAGCCCTGGCTTCAAGGAAAGGACTTATGATTCGTGATTTGCCTTCTGAGGAAGAATATGTACCTCGTTTCGGAGGGAGTACTAAATAGGAGGCTCCATGATACCGTATGCTCTCAATAGTAATGTTTGATGTTAGATGTGAAAATGTTCCTGTTTAATCCCATAATGGTGTTGTCTTCGTTGCACCTTCTGTCGCCAGACTGTATTTACCCTCGCCGAGCATAAATGCCGTGGTATTTCACATGAAAGGCATAGTATACGCTGGGTTAATTAATACTCAGGCTATATTCCTGTTCAGGGTTGGAAAGCTTATTCCTGGGGAGCAGGAAAGGGTTCAACGCGGTGATGCCAACGGCTGAAGTAAAGTCTTTTCAAATTCTCTCCCACACCAGTTCCTAGCTACACTAGTCGTAAATATGAAAATCATCTTTTTGGAGGCCTCAGACGACGATTTCTTTCGAGCAACATGGACTACGATTACGATTGAGCTCATTCCGTTCCCTTGTTGACCACCTCGGTTAAGTCGCTGCCAGTCGAGTCAGTGTTTACCTAGCAGGTCGGGGTCAATCCTTGCCAAGCACCACCCCTTAGCCTGTCAAAAATGCGACTTCGATTCCTGTCTCTTGTTGCAGGCCTACTCTTTACTGCTATTCCTTTACTTTTCACAATTTGGTTGGAATATGTGCCACTACATGAGAATGAACGGATCGTTGAGGTTTGTCTCTTTTTTCTTTTGTTTGCTCAAAAAGCGCGATTGCCCTGTCAGAGTTCACCTATCGATAGCAGGTACGGGTTGACACATTTCATCGACCGGCAACATTGCCGTGTCAGGAGCCTTAATGCTCAATGTGAATGAATGAGGGTCCCGTCGCGATTAACCGACCTTGTTTCGACGCGCCTACGACGATGGTATGTACTGACCCATGCCGAGAGGAACGAAATACGCTCCGGTGTGACTAAGGATTCTGAATGTTTTTCGAAGGGGCTTCAGTTGCCCATGTCTAAAAAGATCCATCGGTTCGGTTGGATAACAAGCGTTGATGTCCTCGCTCTGAGTTCTTTGTTACCGCTGATTCACAAGTGATCCAAAACATTTGAAGGGTCAATATGGACGAGAACTCCCATCCTGTCGTACCGCCAATATAATACTCAGTGGAGGATCAAGTTTTTAGCTGTGATGAGAAATGTTCGGAGGAACTTCCATTCAGGATATAGGGACCTCTGAGTTCGTGCCTACTCTTGAAAAAAGTTACATGGGCCGATCGTAAGTCAGTGTATTTATCCTACCAGACGGGTTTGATACCAATCGATTGATCCCGAAGGGACGAAAGGTCTCATTGCCTCGGCTTATATCGATCCATGGTTTGATCTCCGGAGGATACGCATGGTATTTGACGTCACAGCGCCCCTCACCCCTCCCCGTTTAATTCCTTTTTACCAAATTTTTTCAATTTTTACATAGTATTTGCCATTTTAAAGAAAAACTGTTTTGAAATAGGCTTATCTGTTTAAGTAAAAAGAGGAATTACATGTGGGAACGACTGCCGTTTTGGATTTCTGGATTCGGAGACTTTAGTGAACACCATATTTTTTGTATTGCATAGAAAGTTCGGAGTGATTGAGCCTCTACTCATAAACAGTGAGTAATAAGTTACTGTACAATTCAGTCCAATTTCAGGATGCCTACTGGGGCAGTGGTGAAGTAGTGAAGGACAACGAACGAATTGAAGTATTCAAAGTGGACATTGCCGATGAACAGTAAGTCTTTAGCTATTGATAACAATAAGTTGATTCAGAAACAAATTTTAGGATTGAACAGTTCAAGAATCGTTTGACTGGAGACCGTCTGGTAGCTCCTTTAGACGATAGCTCTCTATCAATGGATTGGCACTCATTTATGAAAAACCTTTCGGAAGTAATGTCGTCTTTTGATTGGAAGCAACATCAGCACTTTTTGAACACCTTCAAACAGTACAGGTACATTTCAGAGCTCTAAAATATCCTCCAAGAATTGTGATGTGAGTTATGAATATGCACTGTCACCAGCAATTTCTTCCTCGTACCATTACGAAAGATATCCTCCTCTGCAGGACAGAAATCGAAGGTCTACCTATCCATTTCTTACGTATTTCGTTGCCAAAAGAGTCAACCAAGGACACGGTACCTCTCCTGATGCTTCACGGGTTTCCTGGAAGCTATTGGGATTTCTTCAAGGTAAAAACATTCAGTAGAATACAAATGAAGTGTGTGGAAAATCTTTCACAGGTTATCCCGATACTCACAAATCCTGTTCGATTTGGATTTGATTTTGGTGTCAGGAGACCTCTCCTTTTCGAGGTGATCGTTCCAAGTTTACCTGGCTTTATATTTTCCGGAAAGCCCTCCAAAAGAGGTAAGTACTTCAGCTTTGCTGAGGTGTATTTTGAGATTTGTGATAACTCGATAACGTTGAGGAAATCTACATCGTTTTTTGTCTGCTTAGTTAATAAGCGGGTACGTAGTCGTTCATAGTTGGCTTGATAGTCATTTATTCGTCAAGTAGTTCTTATATTTGTCTGTAGCGTCCTGATTTGAGTTTTCATTTTACTTGTGGTAGTTAAGGGTTTTCAACAACGGATATGGCGAGGATTATGGCCAAGCTGATGCAACGTCTCAGTGTCAAATCCTATTTCATACAAGGCTCGGAATGTAAGACTTGAGTGTTCTCTTTACAAACTTTAAAATTTAAATCAAAAACCGATTAAACTGCCACAAGAGTTCCGTCCACTTTTATGGAGCATATAGTGACCCTACCGGACGTTAGCAGTTTACTTGTAGTTAGATGAAAAAGGGACGGTAGTAACTAGCAGAAAGATGGACCCTTCTTTTTGGAATGTATGAGTTGGAAAAACCCATTAAATGGCAAGTGACATTCGTGCGATGTTCAACGGCAGTCTGGATTAGGCAGGTGATTGCTTGGCAACTGTCTCACAATTCGCTGGTCCTTGCTCATGTTTGAAGGAACGATTTCCCTCACTCAATCAGCTGAACACCGTTTCCTTGAAAAGGTTTCGGTGACATGTAAAGTAACGGTTCGCACTAAAGCAGCCAACCCAAATTCGAAATGTTAAAACTGCATTGCATGAGTTGGTAAGAGTAAAATCAAAAGTAACCGCTTCGAACATTCTCGATAAAGCGTGCTGAGATAATCACGTCACGCGAGATTGAAGTTTGGTTGAAGATTATTTGTTGACTATAGTTTTATATTGCTTTCAATGTCTTTTTTCAGTGCTTGGAACAGAAATCGCGGCCGTAATGGGCGGACTCTATCCGACCCGTGTTCGCGGAGTGCATCTTAGCAACCCGATAATTCATCCTCATTCCTTTCCACAGGTTTTCTTTAATTCTTTCCAACTAATGGATTTTAGAGAATTGAAGAGCTCAAAGTTGAAGACCCCGTAAATGATTCAATCCAAGTGTAGAGGTGTTAGATTGTGTATGGCGAGCCAGTGTTCGTCTTGGCTCATCATAACACTTGGGCGTCAGTTATCTGGTTCGTAAAAAATGAAAACTTGGTCCGGGTCTTATTTGACGATTTGTAAAAGTAGCAGGGGATAAGAAGAGGTGCTTTTGATGTACAAGGCGAAATTGCAGATCATATTTGAATTTGATGCCCTAGGTTTTCGTGAAGTACCAGCTCCAAAAGTTTCTTGGAATCAGCAACAACGAATTATCGGCAACACTGAATTTTCTGGAAACGACGCATGAAATCGTGCCAACCCCTGATTCAATAGGTACGTTCATGGGTTAAATTATCTTCACCATCTCCTTTATTCTTTGCGAAATGGCATGGACAGTTGTCGAAGGAACACAAGTAATCGGCAGCGTTTACGACACCTCTATAGTTTCATTTAATTATTTGCTGTTTGATTACTTATTTATTCGTCTTCTAAGTAAAATGGCTCAATATAGGGCAATTTTCGGGTTAAAATAATTTCATTCACAATAGGGATGAAAGTCTACCAGAAAATGGACTTCATCCATCAGTGTCTTTCCGTACAAGCTTTATACTGAACTATCCATCCTGAACCGTAGTGATGACTTCAGGTGACGCGTTGTCTTCTTCGCCTTTGGGCACGTCATCATACCTAATGTCGGTCTGGTCGTCGTTTTCATCTCGAGACCGGTCGGTGCTGCTGAATCGGCTCTTTACGCTAGATGAACTCGCTACCATATCGTATCTCTACTACCTCACCGAAAGCACTCCCCATGCCATGAGGATAATGCTCATGTTCCTGAACGAAGATCTGCCGAGGCAAAGGTACTCAAATTTCATTTGTCTCGGTATACCGTAGATCCAAACTAACATAGATTCGCTCTAACCTTACCCTTATTATGGGTTTCAGCGTTTCGTTCCAGTGAGTAGATGGCAATTTTTGGCGCTTAAGATCGAAATTTACTCAATCCGGTGAATGCTGGGGTAAAAATGAAGAAAAAGAGAAGAAAAGGGGGAAAGCATGTCAGACATGCTAGTTTGAATGCATCGGAGGTTAGCTGAACCTCGGCATTACACCCACTTTGTCAAGTATATGGTTGGGTTATTAGCTTCGACACTTGTTGGAAGGGTTTCCCAGTTTGAGCTTGGCCTATTTTCTGATACTTTAGGTTACAAATACGTGTACCATGCGGGATTCTACAGTCGCCTGCGGTCCCATGGAGCACACCCAACTCAATTGCTCGTCATCGCTTCCTCAACATCACTTCCTTTACTACAGTGCCCAAAGGCGGAGCTTTTCTGCATTTACAGGAGCCACAAAATTTTGCTGCCGATGTTTTCCGATTTGTTGAAAGAGTAATGATGTAAATTTGAAATTCTCATCAAGACCAGCTGAACACAGTGACATTATTTGCGGTATTAGGACAACTTCATATAGGCGAAAAGGCTCGTCAGTTTTCGGGAGTTTACGCTCGTTCGCGGCGCCAAAGCCAGATTCTCATGTGAAATTTCACAATTTTCTTCGTCCTTATCTTACTTATCACAAGTATAAGGGAGGCGGCAAAAAGTCTCATTTGTTACTGACAGTCGCCCGAAGCAGACCCGATAAGGTTCGAGGAGGTCTATGTTGTGGCTTTTCTATATAGTTAATTTGAGAACCCCACCCACGAAAAATGAGCTGCAAGGGCTTCTCTTCCCCACCGTCTTCCCATATAAGTCAGGGCAAGACAGCAGTGCTTTGGTTTTGAAGGCCGTTGTCGTCATAGTATCAATGTCGTCTTGGATTCGGCTAAGTTTGTAGTGTTTGAACATAATTCACGTATTTAGATGTTTATTGACTAAACAGTATTAGTCTAAAATAACTATACAAAGAAGAGCAAACACTAAACGATCAGAGGGAACGATAACTAGTGTCATCGTTAACGGGATCAGGCGCACAGTATCAGGCCATTGTTCCGCAGTAATATTTGCGGGGGCAGCTTCCATGGCAAGGACAAAAAAAAAAGAATTGAAAAAAAGAAAAGAGCTGAATGATCGGTGCAAATTGGTCAGGCTTGACCAAAGACGGTGGATCGTTTCCATTTCTACCATCAGACATTTCTAAGCCTAAATGACTGCTGCGTTGCGGTAACCCACGCTAGAAAAGCTCCCTTATCAAGTACCGCCAGGATTGCACAGTAATGAAAAAAGCTCTCCTACATGTCCAGTTAGTTATACCCACGATCGTTGGATTAGAGTCGCAAGACCAACTCTCGACAGTGTAGGCGGAGTTATAGTGGGGAGGCGGGGTTAGTTAAGAACCATTTCTTGCACCATTCATTTGCACGTAATACTCCATAATGAGGAGCATTACGCCCCCTATTTATTTCGAGTGGTGAAGCCTGTCTCAATTATACGTCCATGAGACTGCCGTGGAAGCTGCTCCAGATGACTGCCCCCTACAAACTTCTAACTAATGACACTAACTTAGCAAATTTTTGATTGCTAACATTGTTTTCTATTTAGGTTACGGATTATACGTAAAATCAAGTAAGCAAACAACATGTTGTCCATCGTCTTAGTAACCTACAGCATAATTATACTCGCCATATGTTTGGGTCATAGCGAAGGTCATATTCCTAGATGAAAGAAATCTTTCAGCAATCATCACTGAACGATCCGGTTTGAATACTTGCTTACGATGACATTTGAAGTTAAATTGGTCTAGGAAGAATGCATTCTTCTGAAATATATGGAAGCAAATCAATATTGATTAGATTTATTCGTTATGGGTAGGGGCAATTTTTGTACCTCAATGGTTTTGAGAGACTCCATTTTGAAGTTAATCGTTAATTTTTAATAGTCTCAAACACTTTCAATTTGAAGATTGCGATCGATCGGATCTTTGTTCATCTCACAAAAGTGAACAAAACAAGTATTCCAGCTTATCGCCAAGGCCATTTTCTGGGATAAGTATAACCAACGCAGCGAATACCTTCACCTTTTATCCGGTACGTAAGCTCACCAGAGATAGAAATCAGGCGAGCGCAGGCTACCACGCTCGTGAGAATAAGTCGATCATTCTGATAGTTATCCAAAGACTAGGGAGTTTCAATTTTTGTAACTGTATGACCTATCGGTCAAAATCATGGGATGAAAATACTATTCTTTGATTGTTTGTGATATTTTTCGATGAATTTAGAGGCCATAGGTTCCTATACGGAAGCTCATCAACTTCATACATCTTCTGTATAGGAACCTTCTACCAAACACTTCCCCGGCCCTGCTCATAACTTCCTTCTCCGTGTACTCTCAACAACTTCAATGATGACCTCCACGTTGTGGTATGAGTACCTTTGCTGTAAAAGCGTCCACCATAGGCTGGGATACGCTAGAATCGAGACCCTTCCAAAATCATATGCAGTAATCAGTTCGCTATAATTTCTACATGTAATTTGATTTCTTTTGTGATTTACTAAAGCTTTTTCTACTGACTACTCAGAATGTGTTCAATGTCTACTAGTTCTCTACAAGGGTGAATGGAAAGTATGAACTCACAAGTTCCTCACAATACACCATACCATCTGCGGGATTGAGATAGACCTTTTCTGGATTAACAGCTTCTCCGGCGTGATTTTTCAATAACAGTACTCTGAGAATAGCATTTGCTACTCCCTCGACCGTCCGCTCCGTTCCACTTGCGGCTGCTGCCATCACCGGCTGTAAACAAGAGTTCTTCTTACGAAAAAGACAATAAAGATCCCTGATAACGTCAAAAAAGCTCTCTTAGAACTTCTGAGCACATTGATCATTTGGGGATGGTCCGCATCGAACTTATTAGAAGGAGCCATCTTGGAGCCAAGGAAATGGACTGACTGTTACTAAAAAGGTGGTTCTGTTTTATATTCTCCCAATATGCTCACAACAAAGTTTAAATTTCAACTGCAATTAATCGCGGGCCTCATGTGCGGGATAACCCCGTGATCACGACGACAAATTGCAGCACTTGGGTCTACTTCGGTTTCGAAATAAAGTCTTTTGGTGCCTCAAAATTTTGTCGGTATGGGTCGTCACATGCTGGAGCATCAGAGCGACAGTACTGGGTCGATTCTTCTAGTAGCAGACCGTTTATCTTCAATGGATTAGTCATGAAGGGTCTTTGCACGATTGCCCTATCGGTGTTTAATGGACGTGAACATACATTTAACCTCATCCATCCCACAGAAGCGCCGAACAGCACATTTGAANTGAAATGGTTGGGAAAGATTGAAAGGTTCTTACCGTACTGTAACCAGGATGCGACTCAACTATGACGATACCTGCAGCCGAACAGTATTCCACCGACTTATCACCACTTATGTGAACAAATGGAGCACAATTCACACGCTTGCCACTGTCGTCGTTGGGATCGAAACTGAAGAAATTGAAGCATGCACCGCTCAAGTGTTGACTAGGAAATAGAAAGTTTATTAAGAAGGGATTTTTTGCACACAATATCATTCGGATGCTCATAGTAACATATTGTTAGCATGGTTTAATTTAATCATTCAATCAGTCAGATGGAATGAGATTGGAGAGCTCTTCGACAGGACTCGCAGCACATGGTACTACCTTGCCCCCTACCTCTTACGCCTTCCCCTAGACCAATATAGGGTTCCCTTAAAGTACCTAGGAGTTATGCTTCAACCAACTAAAGACTGGTGGTCTCAATTTCAGACATGGAAATGAACATAAACTTTGTATCNTCAATCAGTCAGATGGAATGAGATTGGAGAGCTCTTCGGCAGGACTTACAGCACATGGTATTACCTTGCCCCCTACCTATTACGCCTTCCCCTAGACCAACCTAGGGTTCCCTTAAAGTACCTAGGAGTTATGCTTCAACCAACTAAAGACTGGTGGTCTCAATTTCAGACATGGAAATGAACATAAACTTTGTATCCATATCAATATTCGGCATTCAAACTTATCAGGTAGAAGGAGTCTGTGTGTAAACACTGATCTAGGCCTTGACAATGTCAATCTCTTTTGACTCTCCGTGTGCATGTGATTAGTATACTAAAGGCAATGTTCACGATAAAAATGGTTTGTTAGATTTCCCCACATGATGAATTCGAGGCCACCGCGTATACCATATCTGGCACTATTAAGCCGGAAAACGACCTAGTTAGGAGTTAAGGCTCAAAGATTCTCGGACGAGTTTCACCGGCACTGCTGAGGCTGCACCGTTCACAAGGGAAACCGTGTAGGAAGTTCAAGCAACTTGTCATGGCCCATAGCGGCAGTGGAAGGCAGTTCTGTGCAGTTCTGGCTTGATGTAGTCGGCTCTCTGCACACTTGCAACAACAATCTTGTCCGAATACCTCACCCATGTTATTTTCGTCATGGTAATATCGTCCAACCTTTATTTTCCCTACTTTTAAGAGGCCTTAATTTCCTCGAAATCGGCGAATTTTCTCGCTTCCTTCGGCACCGATGAACTATTCCCAACCTGTACTTCTTCTTTTTGAATGAAAGGAAGTACCTCAAATTCAAAAGGGAGTGAATTGTGTCTGTAAGACATAATTCTAAATCGGAATGGTTCTCCGGAGGACACTAACTTTCGGATAAGCAACATAAATGTCTTCACAGCAAAGCACGGTGTGGGAATTGCGCATTTAGAGCTCGAAGTCCGGCTTCTTCATCTATTAGTGGGAAGGTGAGCATCCTATCGAACGAGTGCGCCATTTTCAGACTCTTTGTGAGAACATGTGAGAACACCCATTCATTCCATCCTTGAGCGCATTGGTTTCTTCCTAGTAACTAGTACATACCTGTCCTGCAAATTCTGATCTTTGAGGGGAAGTGGGGGAAGAAGTTGATTAAAATCTTTATGTGGTTGGTCTACTAAGGGCATTTCAAATCAAAGAAATTCGTTCCAGCGCAGTCTATTTCTTCGTCCATTTTGTACAGTTGAACCAAGAAAGCAGTGTTTCTGTTTCGTTTTTTACTCACATTTGAGGCAAGCCTAGTTCCATGAGAGTGAAAAGTTCACCCAATCTAGTTCTTGACCAAACCATCAATGGCGATACACGATCAGTACCGTTCTAAAAGTAGAAAAGAACTAAACACAATACCCTTGAACTATTTGAACGAGAACGGAAGACGGGTAGTAGGAATGGTTTTGTGTAGTCGATCGGCCGCACGCGGCTGTCGCGGACCGTTTGCTTTATTATACAGTTCTAGCTTTCTTCATACAGCTCAATCGCTATGCGATTATTACTTTTGGCGTGGTTCTACAGTTAGTTCTTTTGTTCTTGTATTTCCTACTTGCTGCTGCATTCTGCTTCATTCATTCGCGCGCGACGTCTCTCTCGCCACGGCTCGACAATTTGGTTCTTACTGCACCACCCCCTACAACAACTGATGAAAACTATAGAATATTTTCGGGCTGTGTGTTTTGAACAGATGAGGTCTACCTTGCAAACTGTTCTGTGGAAAAACTCAGGAATCAATTTGTATTGTGTATTGATGCTTTTCCTTCCCCCTGGACAACCGGTCCAATGGTTTATTTTCGAAGAGCCCATTACTTTTGTAGGAGACATTGGGTGGGTTGGAGCAGCACGGCTGCGAGGTGCTCTCAAGGAGTACGGTAGAGAATGAAAGTCAGCGCTAACAGCGAAGCCAAAAAAGCTGGCGGTATCTGGCAACAGAGGCAACCGGTCTACAAATCACATATTCCAGAAATGCCCCTTTTGCCGCGTGGTAACATTACCAAGGCGCTCAGCTTTGCATTGGGCGAGTTGCAATCTCAGCGGAAAGTGTTGTTCTGATATGACCGAGGAGTTTCCAAATAGCTCACCCGAAAGACATCCTGCCTAGATGGATTATAAGTTTGTTTGATGATTTGATCAACAGCATCCTTCCACATATTCATAAGTGAATGGCCCTTAACAATTTTTTTCGTTTAAATATTCAAATAAGTCGTATAATTTGGGCTAGCTTTGCATATATTCCTATATGTCCATTGGAGCCTTGAAGTCAAGTTTGTTCTACGACATTTACAGTTAACGGTCTGGAAACCTGTATTACCTACTTCCACACCAAGATAAATTATAATCCTCGTGCTGTAACGTCGAAGAATCATTTTGGGCGAGCTTGACCAAAAAGTAGTTGAAGGTACGATTCAGGTCGAAAATGGTTTCTGAGATTTCTCCATTGGATGAACTGCGACCCCCAAGGACGGCCTAAGGGACACTGTCAGGTCAAAAAACAGTCAGAATAGGGCGTAATAAGGGCCCCGAAACCGGCTCAGCCGACGTATACACTCAAGGCGAACGAGTTGTTNNNNAATGTCCCTTTTACCGCATGGTAACATTACCAAGACGCTCAGCTTTGCATTAGGCGAGATCCAATCTCAGCAGGAAGTGTTGTTCTGATATGACCGAGGAGTTTCCGAATAGCTCACCCGAAAGACATCCTGCCTAGATGGATTANCACCCCTTCCATGCAGCTTTTTTCGTAGCATTCTCGTCCACCCTTTAATTCTACTTCTTTCTCGAAACCTAGGAGCATCGCCTAACGACAATCACCCCGAAAGGTTTCATAAACTGTGCCTACAACTCATAGTTTAAACTTCTGATCGAACCTTTGCATAAACCAGACATATCCCAATGCCTTTTGAATAGAAATAAAATACCGAGCGTATAGAAACTGGATGAACTTGCGATTCTATTTCACTCGATGAATATGAGGGGGCTCTCTTATATTTGTCAACCATCCAAGGATCACCTCGGTTTTGCCAGTCCATTCTCGAGTTCCTCTAATGAGCTGCATCGCTATCATTTGTGCATTTACTGACATGACTTGAAGCGATAACTCTGCCAGATTTGGTTGTGCCTTCATGAAAGCCTCTGCAAAAATACACCGTCAATGACCAGCAGCCATTAAGGACCATCTACTTGTATTATATATCAACAATGACGTATTTGAGTCAGGAGACTCCTCTGTAGTCCTGCGTAACGCACAGACCACGCCCCTAGAGCATAAGCTACGCTGGATGACTGCAACAACGCCCACCCAAAGCAAAGTTAGTAACACTTTTTGAGGGCTCGTTCCTGTGAGACTCAAATAATTCGTGAAAAAGACACCATTGCCATAGGTTGGGAACTTATTCACGGTTCCATCGCACTGCTTGAAAGGCGAAGCGTGTCAGATAGGTGGGATTATGAGGCTGGGATGGGCAACATGATAAACAAAACTCTTATCTTTCGAGCATTTTTCGAGAGGTCAGACTGTCTAGATCTCTCTCAAACTAACTCTTTCTTACTGATCGATCAGAAAATATTTCTTTGATATGTCTCCAGGTGGCGTGTGTTCTAACTTCGAAGCAGCTTTTTCCGTTATTAAGAAGCGAAATTTCATTAGTTCTGTAACCTACCATAGACAACTTTTATGATGAATGCGGTCAGAAACGAAAGAGTTCTGGAATGTCTTCGCTTTGGTATGACTAACGTTAAACCACGATGCGTCACCTTATCGTAAGTCAGACGATAATACATCAATTGGTCCGCTACTGAAAAATGCCTCGGTTTCAATTATTCGTGGTAGAAAGACGAAAAGTAGGGGTAAAAGCAAAGGCGTAATAAAATAAGGAGAAATAGACTATCGAAGCTCACCATCTTCATCGCTCCCGGTGCTTGTCGCAAATATCTCTACTGCCCTTTTCGCTTCTTCAGGGGTGATCGTGATTGTATCTCTTGTAGACAAATTCCCTATATCTCTGTAATAAGTAACAGACGTGTCAAAAAAATCGTACACCACTAATGGAAACCACTTTGATCGATTAGTATGCGTGCTGTTTGGTCAGGTCGCGGCTTAGAACAAGCCTGAAAACAATGGTTCACAACACGTGTTCGCGACAGTCTGAACCGCTGAACAATGGCTGTTCCAGGCCACCTTCTACCCGCCGTGCGCGAAAATTTCGCGTTTCGACCACATAGTGACCCCTAATCGACTGCTTCGGATTTTTTGCTCTCACAGAAGCTCACAGTCGACAGAGTTAGCCAGTGCCGTTTGTCTAACTTTGTTCTTGGATAAGAAATTTGATGAATTCAGGATAATCATGTAGGTATAAGATGGGCTTCTTATTAGGTACCAGTCGGTTCGCCCGGCTAACGCCGGGCTTCCCTCCTTTGACAAAGTTGTAGTATACGTGATCGGCTAACTCTTCACTCCTTTGAAACAAGTAATGTTTTCTTGAGCACGAAGTTTGACACAGGATTAACAGGGCAGTGGTATTGTCAGTAGTGTGCTTACGCCTTTAATTCTTGAAAGTAAATACCTATCAAAGACTAAATTGTTAGACAACCACAGCCTTGGGCGGTTCTAGCAAATGTCTCCAGTGGTGATAACAAAATTATCAGATGTCGTTATCAACCCTTCTCTTTCAAGAGATCTCATCAGTCGAGAATTCCAAATTACTAGCGGTCGGCTAGCTCTTATCACGAACGATATCGACCGAAGAAGATCCTTCATCAAGTCACAAACCTTACTGGATAGCAGTCGTGATCTAATGGCAAGAAATGAACAAAATTCTGATCTGCTGACGTAGTGCCACTAATATGTGTGTCCCTATCACTGCACTCATCACGCCTTTTCGTCACCCTACTTTACCATCTATTCTTATCAAATGAAAAATATTGACCAATCAAAGCTACATCGTGAATACCGAAGGGTTAGGGTTTGGTCGGTAGGCAGCTGTTGCTCTTTTAGGCCCCTCATCTTCTCTTAACAGTTGTCATCGGTTCCTGTCGCCGAGTACCTACGATTACATATCCTGCAACACCTATTGAAATGCCGAGGTTCCGCTGTTAATATGAAAAGCTGTTATCCTACCATATTTGAACTCTTTGGGTCCAGGGGAGCAGGAGCTATGAATACCCGTTCAACTATATCGCGCAAAAACCGCCTCCTGTGGGCCTGTAACCCCCCATAGAAGTCTCCGTCCTGTCGCCTTTAGTCCTTCCAAATTTCATCGCTCCAGGTCCAGGTAAGCAGGAGTTATGAATTTGCGGCCGGAAATTTCTAGCGTGTACGCCCCGCCCCCTGTGGGCGAAGTCTGGCCCTGCCCTCTGCCACGAGTGTTCACTTCACTCTTCCTGTACTCCTTCCAAATTTCATCGCTTCAGGTCCAGGTAAACAGGAGTTATGAATTTGCGGCCGAAAATTTCTAGCGTGCACGAGTCTGGCCCTGCCCTCTGCCACAAGTTTTCATTTCACTCTTCCTGTACTCCTAGAAATCTCATCGCTTTAGGTCCAGGTAAACAGGAGTTATGAGTTTGCGGTCCAAAATTTCTATCGCGCACGCTCCGCACCCCGTAGGTGGAGTCTGGTCCTGCTACCTGCCATGAATGTTCCCACCCTATCTCCCGTACTCTTGCCAAATTTGAACCTTCTAGATCCACGGGAACAGAAGTTAGGAATTTCTGGTTGAATATACACACAAAAACACATACACCGACAAATACACACACAAACACACACAAAGGTACACCAACAGACACACCTAGCGAATTATTTATATAAAATAGGATAACTAACATGGGTTCGAATCGTTTTTCCCAACTCTTCATCCTTCTCTGGACGTCGGGTGAACTTTTGCTCAAATGCACGAGCAGAGAAGGAACGCGAAACTTCCTGGGTCTAATTTTCACATGCGTGCCATTCAGGGTTTTACGCACCTGAAAAAGAACAACTTTAGTCTGAACAGCGTGCATCAGTGAGATTTCTAACCCAGCTGGTGGGGATCTAGCCAGTTCGATATTGTGCTTAGCTCTCTAATCTCTCTTATTATAGAGCAGAAACCTGGTGTGTGGGTGTGTCGGTCTGTCCGTTCGGAAAACTTGTGATTACGATAAAGGCAGTGATATGGAAATCCTTGTTCTATTCTACACTTCCTTCTTATATATAAATCAGTAAATTGGTGAGTAGGTGGGTGATGGAGTAGAGTGAGTACTGCGGAGTGAAGTGAGTGATGTGGGGTGAAAAGAGTATTTCAAAACCGCAACTCCGATCTCTACCGGCATCGTGGTATGTATGCCTTCACAAAAATCGTAGGTGGTTATGTAGTTGGGGAAGCTCCGCTTTTTTTAATCATTGAGCACTAGAGCACAAATAAGGAGGTTAGCCCATAGTTGTGCCCACTAACGTTTTTCAACCGAGAACATACATTTTTTGATCTGAGCTTCAGGAGGGAAGGGGTACCGAAGTGGGTTAGTCAATTGAATATTCAACCCATTCCCCATCCTAGATTTTGCACGATGTAATCATCCCTCCCACACCCTGCCGCTCATCCCCTACTGAGGCTTAGCTTGAAACCGTATTCTTTCGCCTAGAACAATTTCTAATTGTAAGTACAGGCCAGGTCGGCTACCCCTCCTTTGCACTCTAGCCTTCAACGTTGGTTAAAAGCAATGCCCCCTCCCCCTTCCCCCTCCAATCTACAGTTTCTAACTACTTGGTAAAAGTAAGGAATGTGGCCTGGCGTAAGCTGGGCGACCCGACTGGACAAAAGAAGAGGCCCTAGAGAAGAAGATCCACTCACCAGGTGAATCCTAGCGCCTTTGTTATTTACGATCTAGCTCTAACTTTTTAATATATTTCATTCGACAAGATGGGTAAGTGGTGTGACTATGAGGAGATGAATTTGGCCCACTTCTTGCTATTGGGCTACGAGCGCTACCCAGCAAAGTTTGCGATTCCGTGAAAAAACACGATTTCTCTGCTTTGATATCATTCTTGGCAAAACTTATCGACCGCTGATAATGTTGGATTCTCATTTAATGATGTAGCTAGAGAAAAGGAGCTACATCTTCAAAGACATTTGATTATCTATACTCTCGCCCAGCGAAACAGCAATATAACCTACGAAAAAAGGCCTTTGCCACAAAAAGGAGGAGAGCCTGGCGGCAGCTGGGCCATCCGACTGGTAAAGGATAAAGTTTTGGAGCGTCAATCAATACCGTCTGAGGGACGCGCCCACGTATTCGACTTGCATTCCATTCAGAATTGTAGTTGCGAATTGAATGCGTATGTGCCCTAAAATGACTTCGGTGACCAGCCGATGTACAAGTTAGTGCTTTTCTCAACCCAGACGATTCTGGTACCAATCAACCGACCCGGAGGGATGGAAGGCTCAGTTGGCTTAGGCATATGTCGATCCCGGATTCAAACCCGTGACCGTGTGTGTACGAAGTGAGCCGCATGCCACTACACTGCCACTGTCCGCTTGGCTTTCTGTTCGACTCAATACGGAAAATAGAACAGAAAGGGGATCTAGTCCAGAATTTGAATTTTTGAGTTTTTTCTCGCCCTTAATGTATTCTGAGCAGAACTTATTCTTTATAGCATTCAACGTCATGCAGGCGTTGCCAAACATGCAAAAAGTTACAACAAATCAGGAATTATTTGCTTGAAATACCGATAAAACCACGGTAACTGAACTTCTTCCCGGTTGCTGACGTTCGCTTTGCGGCATGCGGCAAATCTTACTGCAATTACCGTACTCATCCCGCCTCCCCGCCAATCGAAAGCACGCGATATTTTCCGCTGATTGCCTTTCTTTTTATCAGTTTTGACCTTTTTCTGATCCTTTTTCGTTTTTATGTTTACTAGACTTTATTAATTAGAATGACTCTTCCTATATTAGCGACGATCAAGACCGCATTAAAATTGAAGGGAGCGGCCAGCCAATTCAAGTAATTAATACCTCCCTACCTCACTAACTGTGCGCTCCAATCTTCCACCGCAATCCTGTGATACGGGACGGGTGCGGCATGCGCAACGCCGTTTTCGGGGAACCCATAAAACCATACAATTGTTCCTCATTGCGATAGTTTACCCCTCTTTCACGCATGCCGGCTACTCTACTCTAGCTCATTGTTGGCCAGTCATCGGTTGAAGATCTAGCCACCTCGGTCGAGCTCTTGCCCAGCTCTTACTTGAAGCGCATCTTCTCCTTCTGCGAGCTTATTCGGCCTACATACATAGTAGGCCAGCTTTTCTCGAGCCCACATAGGCCCTTTTCGCAGGAAGCTCTTCTGTGACTGCGGTGCCTCCTAGGCTCCGCTAGATCACATTTATTCATGTACGCATAAAACACAAACAGGGAACTATGTGTTATGCACACCACAACCACCTGTACGCAGAGCAAGTCGCTGCACTGATGATGAAACCTCTTCATTCAAGACCATACAGTGAATAAGAAAAATAATAATAAACGAGAATATGCTGAATATTGCACTACTCGCTCTTGTCAATCTATGGTCACGACACGTTTCCTGCTAGGGGTTGATTCGAAGCAGCCGTGAGTATATCTCCTCCTCGTGCACGATTACCGCTCCACTAATACCCTTCTAGGTTGGAGGAACAGGTGAATACGAGGAAAGCTATAGACGGAGGTAGTTAGGGATTGGCCAGAAATGGACAAACGTCCTAGATGACTGCACGAACGACGACGATGGCCACGAATAACGATAATGATAGAGTTGGCTAGACTTGCCACCTACAGATTATTATCGCTCCCTGAACATCTAGCGACTCGAGACATACTAAATGTTTTGCTGGCGAGACTACAATAAAAGATAATTGTAAGGGAACGTACCCATTTGGATCGAGACCAGATTTTTTCGTGTTTTTCCGTATGAATGTCGTAGTGTTCGAGCCAAACCTTTGATAGAGGCGATTCACGTAGTGTCTTATTCAGATATCCCATACCGTGAAGGAAGAAAGGCACTTCCCTGGAATTTATATATATACCAGTCGTG